TACATACGATATTTTCATAACACAGTTTTACTTACTTTTAAACATGAAATACGTTTAACAGTTTCAAAGGAATGTCCAGTGAATGAAAACCAGACAATCCGAACGTGCCACGAGAGTTTCTGTTCACTTTTCCGAAACGAAATACATGAAATTACTATGAACGTGGTCCTAAAATGTTAAAAAGTTAGTAGATTTAGAAAAAGATAGTTTGATTAGTATTACGTTTACCCACAATGCTCTTCATATCAAGTTAACAACAAACATGGCCGCCAATAAAGAGCAGACGAAACTGCTAGATCCACCGGCAGTATCTCGGGCTGCTGTGTGGAAACATTTTGGTTTTGAAGCAACGTATGACAGCAGAGGTGTAGCAACTCCCGATTAATCAAAAGTAATATGCAAACATTGTAGAATAGCGGTGAAGTATTCTGGCAATACCACAAACTTGACGACGCACATGCAACGGCGTCACCCGGATGTTCATCTCGCAAAATCCCAGTCTGGAAGAAGTCAGACAGCGACAAGTAGTGGCGCATTTGCAACTTCCTCTCAACCTAAGCTGAACTTTGACAATAAGTTGAAATTTACAAGTGCTAGATCTCAGGCCATAACCCGATCTAGTACCGAATATATTGTGAAAGACCTCTGACCTTTTTCGGTTGTTGAAAACGAAGGTTTCAAGCGAATGATTTACCAGTTGGAACCCAGATACAAGATTCCGTCAAGACCCTACTTTTATGATAAAGCTGTGCCAGAAATGTATTCTCAAGTTGAAACTTGATAAATAGTATTTAATGTTTATGTTTATATTTTTTGCATAAAGTTATGAGTAACTTTTTCTTTTAGCCAGGTTGTTTTTTCAGTAAAACATACTGTATTGCTGACAATTTGCTATAACAGTAAATAAACACCTTATATCTTCTTCAACTGTACTTGTCACATCTTTTAGAGAGCAGAAAGACATCAACTTGGCTTAGCTTGTACCAGTAAACACTGTATCGTGATATGTATCGTATCGCGACCCCTGTATCGCGATACGTATCCTATCGCGACCCTCCCGTATCGTTACACCTCTAATACAAAGTTATAAGAAAAGGTTTACAGGTTATGCCATTGAACGAATCCTAGCAGCTTGTTGAGCAAACGCCAGTACAAGGGGCATAACAAATGTCACGGGTTCATATTATTCCTCTATGGTGGTTTTCAAACTTGATATCATATTCATCAAGTAATGATGCATTCACAATTACATTTATAGTGGTTTCCAGAAATCCGTGGTACTGTGCACCACGCTTAGTTCGTGAGTGAGTTGGGTTTAACGCCAATTTTAACAGTATTCCAGTCATATCGCGGCGTGTCAGCTTAATGTCGGAGGAAAGCCCGAAGTGATGCAGGTCTCAGACATTTACCACTTCGGTGAAACCCACGAGCACGGGTATGGTGCTGACAAACCTAGAAACATAATTGGGGCGAACCGGGATTCGAACCAACAATCGTAGGTTTCTGGCGTGCCCAAGGGATGCAACTCTGCACAGCGAATCGCGGCGCCTTAGACGACTGGGCCACCCGTGTCCCCGCACCACGCTTAAATTGTCAAACAAGGGTAATAACTGCTATAATGAATTATAATAATAATATGATAAAATATATGATTTTTTCATGATTCGATATTCAAACCCCATACATTTTCAACCGAAACCGAGAAGGAGCAATTTCTCTGGTTTATAACAACATTTATTAATATAAGTTTACATTATGTATAAAGTTGTGTTACGACAGTCACAGGAAATACTACTTCCTATTTGCACTGTCTAACATTTGTGAAAACCATAATGGAATTGCTATCGTCTTGTCAGTTGTGTTGTCTACCAGGTGTTGATTCTGTTACGGGCTTTTCTTCCTCTACACTTGTCCCAGAGGAAGAGGATGATGAACACCAAGAGCTCCGTGATCTCCATGATTGTCAAATTGCTGGCTCCCAGGCACAATCCCATCTGTCCCCCGATATTAGCTATAACAACAAAAGCCAAATTCATCAACCTCGTATTTCCCAACAAAGTTGCTATTTCTTTATGGAATGCAAAAATCTCGTATGCTTGTAGACATCAACTAATGAAAATCAGTCAAACTCTGTTAGTTTTGTTTGTTTGTTTGTTTGTTGTTCAACAATATTCCAGCTACATGACAGCGGTCTGTAAATAATCCAGTCTGGACCACACAATCCAGACTGACTGAGAGCATTGTTAAGTTGTGATATGATGACATGCATCAACCACGTCAGCGATCCTGACCAGCCGATCCCGTTAGTCGCCTCTTACGACTAGCAGAGTCGCCTTTTACGGCAAGCATGCGTTGCTGAAGACCTTTTCTACCCCGGAATCTTCACCGGTCCCATGCAGGGCCAGATGATGGAGGAATATAATTCTTTATTAAAATAGCATGTGGGACATCGAATTGGATATAATATGGTTGTATTTGCAATGTTGAGGTTTGGATTGGTTGTTTATTGTAATGTTTTACCAAAGGTGTAAATTATTTCGTGATTTCAGTTTTCTTCCGACTCGTGCGAATAAGTTTGGGTTAACGCTGCTTCGAACGTGATTTCGAGCAAGCATATGATTCTGACAGTGCATGTTTTTTTCATATCCGCTACTCTATATAAACGTTTATGATCCGTGGTTTGTTTGTTTGTTTAACGCCGCACTCAGCAATATTCCAGCTATATGACGCCGGTCTATTATAAATAATCGAGTGTGGACCAGACAATCCAGTGATTGACATCATGAGCATCGATCCACGCAATTGGGATCGATGATATGCTTCAACCAAGTCAGCGAGCCTGACCACCCGATCCCGTTAGTCGCCCCTTACAACAAGCATAGTCACATTTTACCTATTCTACCCCGGATCTTCACGGGTCTTATGATCCGTGGACACAAATGGGGCGATGCGTTAGATACCATGGCAACCCCCAAGGATTAATATTCCTTGGAATGTTGGAAACGGTTTTGGTTTGGTATGGTTTGGTTTGTTGTTTAACGCCGCACTCAGCAATATTCCAGCTATATGACGGCGGTCTGGAAATAATCGAGTCTGGACCAGACAATCCAGTGATTTATATCATGAGCATCGATCCGCGCAATTGGGATCGATGATATGCTTCAACCAAGTCAGCGACCCTGACCACCCGATCCCGTTTGTCGCCTTTTACGACAAGCATAGTCGCCTTTTACGGCAAACATGGGTTGCTGAAGACCTATTCTACCCGGGTCTGTTGGAAACGGTGAAATGCGTACATCATAAGAAAAAGCCTGGAAAAGCATGTCACTTACAAAACAGCGAGGCCACCGTATATTGAGGTTGTTGTGCTGTGGATGTCACCATCATATTGTCGTAAAACACTCTGAGCTCCAGGAGGTTTTCTCTGAATAACAGCAAATACATGCACAACTTTGTTTGTGTGTTTGTTTGTTGTTTAACGCCGCACTCAGCAATATTCCAGCTATATGATGGCGGTCTGTAAATAATCAATCTGGACCAGACAATCCAGTGATTGATATCATGAACATGCACAACTAATGTAGTGAGAAACTTAATATGGTTGGGAATCCAAAAGTGGTTTTAACAGACTAAAGATCATATTCGATGTTAAACTGGCTTTGGATGTATGACCAGCGACCTGGCTGTATGACCAGCGACCTTTCCATCTAAAGGACATGACAATTTTGAAGGTTCATTTCGTTTGCTAAAATTGCGTTCCATTCAGAAGAAACTTAAAACATACAAGACCCATTCTATATTAATGCGGAATCTTGATTGTACGATTCTGACTATATCGTGAGTGTGTCTTTATGAATCACTATCTAATGGTGATGATACCAGGTTTTCGCGAAAAGGTTAGTGTATCCTGCCCAACCGGTGGCACCCATCACGAACACATGCGAATGCAAAGCAATTGCTCGGACATCATATTTAGACAGTGCGCTCCACGTGTCTGCCATAGTACGTTTTGAAAGTTTTGCTGAGGTTTGGATTTGGTAAAATTGATGAAACGACTTTTGAGCAAGAGTCGTAGGAAGCTCTTTGAAATGTTCGGAGAAAGAACATGCTTTGTTTTTCCTCCAAATTTATGACATGTAGACACCAAAGGCTGGAGCTGCTGGAATATTGCTCGACATGAAGAAAACGTTAGAAAGTTGAAGTCATCCAGTCTTGTGGAGAGTCCAGACCAATCCTTCCTTTGTTTCCGATCCGTTGTTCGGAAACATCAGCAAAACGTTTCAGACAGTACGCTACACAGTGTCTACGTATAGGTGAATTACAGAGCTGATTATAGAGAAAGAAGATAAATTGAATTTATTTTAATCAGTGCTGTAATTAGCAGATAAGTAGAAAATTATCTTTGCACTGCAACACCAAGTGACAATTTCAACCCTTTTTGGTCAGGAGACGAGATATTATGTGACAAGCAATTGCAAATGTTCTACCTATTATGCAATTCTGCAATTGACTGAAGAAACATCGTGTAGGTGGGGCGGACTGAAAATAGTTCCAGCTTTGCACCGGAGTAAAATATCGACTTAAACTGTATTTCATTGCTACAAAGACAATAAAGAGGCATAATTTAAGAAATGAATAGTATGTGTCTGTAGATGTTTGGATGCGCATGAGTATTCAATTCCTGAATATTTTATTTGGAGTGAGTGAGTGAGTTGGGATTAACGCCGCTTTTAACAGTATTCCAGTTATATTGCGGCGTGTCAGCTTAATATGGGAGGAAAGCTCGACGTGATGCAGGTCTTAGACGTTTACCAGTTCGGTGAAACCAACGAGCGCGGGTCTGGTGCTGACAAACCTTGAAACATAATCGGGGCGAACCGGGATTCGAAAACACAATCATAGATTTCTGGCGTGCCCCGGGGACGCAACTCTGCGCAGTGAATCGCGGCGCCTTAGACGACTGGGCCACCATTGCCCCCTATTTTATTTGGAAACAACGGACGAAAACAATTGAACAAAATTGAAATATTCTTCCAAAGTGTTTACCACGGGTAGTTTAGTGTATTTGAAACACATAAAAGATGTGAATGTGTGTTTTGGAAATAGAGTCTGGTGTCAGTTTATATGCAAATCTTACACCATGGTCGCCCTGTCCCGAGTCTCTGTGGAGTTGAGGAAGGTGTTGACTCAGATGTTTGCTGGGAAGGAGCTTGAGGACACCTGGGCAGTGTACCTGATGAGCGTGCATTCACCGACACACCCACATTCCTTCACGAAGGTACCATTCTTGGACATTTCTCCTGTGTAAACAAAAAGTCTTTGTGCCATGATTCTTGATTTGTTTGTTGTTTATTTGTTGTTTAACGCAGCACTCAGCAATATTTCAGCTTGACTAATGACATGGTCTAATCAGTTTCAGGGCTGTAGACGTGTAAAAAGTCAATGCGAGATAATAACTAGTCTTGACTATCTGCAGAAACATTCCAGTGAGTGATTGAGTCTTTTGACAGTACTCCAGTTACATGAATGCGTGTTAGCTTAGTGGGAGGAAAGCCCGAAGTGGTGCGGGTCTCAGACGTTTACCACTTCCGAGAAACACACAAGCACGGGTATGGTGCTGACAAACCTAGAATCATAATTGGAGCGAACCGGGATTCGAACCCACAATCATAGGTTTCTGGCGTGCCCAAGGGATGCATCTCTGCACAGCGAATCGCGGCGCCTTTGACGACTGGGCCACCCGAGCCCCGGCACCACGCTTAAACTGTCAAACAAGGGTAATAACTGCTATATGAATTATAATAATAATAATAATATGATAAAATATATGACTTTCATGATACAAACATAATCGAGGCGAACCGGGATTCGAACCAAGGGACGCACCTCTGCACGGCTAATCGCGGCGCCTTAGACGAATGGGCCTCCCGTGCCCCCCAAAACATTCCTTTTGGCGTAAAGGGCAACATACCTTTGAAAAATATAAGAGTGGACCACCGGAAAATCAGTGATGTCGTTCGGTTTTGTTCCGCGTCATTTTTTAGATAATGTTGTGTTTTTCTTAAGTTTAAAGAAAAGGGCCAGGATGTTCCCAGTCGCAGAGACTCTACCTATTTACTCCAGCAACAACATGTCAGGGAACACAAATAATGGGGACTTCACACATACTCAAGTACTCATCGTTTTTAATAACAAGTGCTTTAATTACGGCGCTACCTGCCTATCTCTGCTCACAAACAATTCACAAAACAAACCTTTGTGTCACGCTTAAAAGTCCATTTTACATAGGGATACATATTGGGTACAGATTAATAACCGTATCATTAATCATTTTAAACAATTTACTACTGGAAAACAGTATTCAATGAAGATAAATATATTAATCAGTTGCTATTGTCCTGAAAATAGCTTTCTTGTTAGTAACCCTTATTAGGTAATGTTCCTCTGTCCAGGAATCAGTTTCAGAATTATTTTTGGAAATTGATAATTTCCAGTTAAAAGGTTGGTTGGTTTTTTAACGCCGCACTCAGCAATATTCCAGCTATAAGACGGCGATCTGTAAATAATCGAGTCTGGACCAGACAATCCAGTGATTAATGTCATGAGCATCGATCCACGCAATTTGGATCGATGATATGCATCAACCAAGTCGGCGAGCCTGACCACCCGATCCCGTTAGTCGCCTTTTACGACAAGCATAGTCACCTTTTACGGCCAGTGGTTATGGGAGTGGTTATTGAATGCAACTAACATTTATTATCAGATAATGTGCTTGGTTTCGCAAAATATCAAAAGGATCTGCTTGGAATTAAGAGTGAATGAGTGAGTGAGTATGGTTTTACGCCGCTTTTAGCAATATTCCAGCAATTTCACGGCGGGGGACACCAGCAATGGGCTTCACACATTGTACCCATGTCGGGAACCGAACCCGGGTTTTCGGCGTGACGAGCGAACGCTTTAACCACTAGGCTACCCGACCGCCCCTTGGAATTCAGAAATATAAATTGTCAATACTAGAGATAACCAGCCTAGTCTTCAGCAACCCATGCTTGCCGTAAAAGGTGACTATGCTTGACGTAAAAGGCGACTAACGGGATCGGGTGGTCAGGCTCGCTGACTTGGTTGATGCATGTCATCGATCCCAATTGCGTGGATCGATGCTCATGATGTCAATCACTGGATTGTCTGATCCAGACTCGATTATTTACAGACCGCCGTCGTATAGCTGGAGTATTGCTGAGTGCGGCGTTAAACAACAAACCAACCAGCCAAACGATGTTCTGCCGGAACAGATTCCACTTGGCGTAAAGGACAAATAGCTCTGGAAATTATATGAATGGGGTGATGACACCAGGTGTTCGCGAAAAGGGTAAGCATGTCCTGCCCTACCAGTTGCACCCGCCAATCATACAATTTGGATAAAAAAAAGTAAGTATTTATTGCCTGATGCCACACAGCAGTACTCCTGCCATGCGACCACACAATCAAGTGATGGATGACCCAGAAAATCCAATGACAAAACAGTACCATTACTGATTTTGTTGAAACTAACAAAAACGGTATGTTAATTTTGAATTACGTCTGCTGTGTACAAATACAGAAATTTTGAAAACATTTAAAATATATTCGTTTTGAAACACGACGGGTGCAGTTTTAAAGTCTCGGCCCAAACATTTCTTTTGTAGTTGACTCAGCACAGATAAATGCTACTGAGCTTATGATGAAACGTGGGAACTTCATCATCAGCAAAAACATCGATCCAGTTCAAGTAAATGTAAATTGTAAATGCAAGAGAATAACCAGCCTATATACGTTCTGCCGAAACGGATTCCCCTCGGCGTAACAGCTGAAATGTTAAGAATGGACCACTGAAAATCAGTTATGACACCAGGTGTTCGCGAAAAGGGTAAGCATGTCCTGCCCTCATTTAACCCCACTATACACCATTATCATACACGATCAACTGAGGAAATTTTCATGTTCTAATCCAAAACATGCTGACGATAGATACAGTTATCTTTATCTTCAAAGTTAATGAAAAATGGTCAAAATGAAAGCAGATGTCACAAGTTTACTGAGAAAACAATATGTGAAATGTTATTTTCAGGAACTGTCCAAAGTACGATTGATAGTTATTGCATAAATCTGATTTATCCTGAATGAATTTTTGGTGACAAATTTGTCCCTACTAACCACACCCCTACTCCGCTCATCCGTCTAGAATATCACCGGTGAACGGTTGTAATACTCACTGACAAAGGTCGTGTAACAGCTATCCTGCTTCACCAGAGAGCACCTGGGAAGATCCTCTGCAATTAATATCAAAGAATTGTAATTAAGTTCTACGTTTTATAACACTGACGGGTTTGTTTAGTGATTGTTCAATTAGTAGTCTTACCTTGTCAGTATTCGTGAAAGAATTAGTTCAACCTGCCGGGAATATGTGTCATCATGCTCAAACAGTAGTGATGTTAAACTCCTTTAAGTGGCATTTAGAAGTTGGTATGATTTGTTTGTTGTTTAACGCCGCACTCAGCAAAATTCCAGCTATATGACGGCGGTCTGGAAATAATCGAGTCTGGTCCAGACAATCCAGTGATGACATCATGAGCATCGATCCACGCAATTGGGATCGATGACGTTTATCAACCATGTCAGCGAGCCAGACTTCCCGATCCCGTCAGTAACATCTTAGGACAAGCATGGTCGCCTTTTACGGCAAGCATGGGTTGCTGAAGACTTTTATTACAATGAATGCGACGTTACGTTTCGGTATATATACTAACACCACAAACACAGCACATTATTTGATTGATACCGGTGTTAGTATCAACACCGAAACGTCGCATTCATTGTACCTAAGAAGTTGTATATCCATAGAATTGTATCCCTTGTTCAGTAATGCTGTGGGCTATTGTGACCAGGAAGTATTTGTTTGATGGTTGTTCAACGCCGCACTCTGCAATATTCCAGCAAAATGACGGCGAACTGTAAATAATAGAGTCTGGATCGGACAATCCAGTTATTGACATCATGGCCATCGATCCACGCAATTGGGATACGATGACATGCATTAACCGAGTCAGCGACCCGTGAAGATTCCGGGGGTAGAATAGGTCTTCAGCAACCCATGCTTGCCGTAAAAGGTGAATATGCTTGTCGTAAAAGGCGAGTAACGGGATCGGGTGGTCAGGTTCCTTGACTTGGTTGAAGCATGTCATCGATCCCAATTGCGTTGATCGATGCTCATGCTATCAATCACTGGATTGTCTGTTCCAGACTCGATTATTTACAGACCGCCGTCATATAGCTGGAATTTTGCCGAGTGCGGCGTTAAACAACAAACAAACAAACCAAGTCAGCGAGCCTGACCACCCGATCCCGTTAGTCGACTCTTACGACAAGCATAGTAGCCCATTACGGCAAGCATGGGTTGCTGAAGACCTATTCTTCCCCGGATCTTCACGGGTCTTACGTGGATCAGATGGACCGACACATCCACACTCATCGAAAGCCTTTATCCGGACACACTCCATGAAGCAATGTTCGTAGGTGAAGGGGGAGTAGTACTTGAGAGGGTTCACAAACTTGGCACTATTTGTGTCCACACATTCCACGTCATCAAATGCCATATAGGGACCGGGCAGGAAACTATACTACAAATCAAAGTCACAAGTTAGTGATGTCCCATTTTGCCAAATATTGGAAATGGCAATTTAAAATAATGTATGGAGAAAATGACATTACTATATAGGACGTGAATACAAAATGTAAATGTGTTCAAATAGAAAAAATGAAAAGCTGCATAGAAGACTGTCCCATTGTGATTTACTTTCCCTGGAGATGTGAACATTCTCTGGAGTGTAAGAAGGATGCGTATTTGTTGCGAAACTTCCAGTCCAAAACCAAATGTCACTATGTATTCCGGGGCACTAGTGGCCCAGTCGTCTGAGGCACCGCAATTCACTTTGCAGAGATGCGTCTCTTGGGCTCGACAGACGCTATCAACGTGGGTTCGAATCCTGGTTCGAGGTTTATCAGCATCATACCCGAGCTCGTGGGTTTCACAAAAGTGGTAAACGTCTGAGACCTGTATTACTTCGGGTTTTCCTCCCACATCAAGCTAAAACGCCGTAATATAACTTTGAATATTGTTCAAAGCGGCGTAGAACCCAACTTACTCACTCACATACTATGTATTTATACTTGATTTAATTTCTAACATATCAACATTTTTTACAGCCTCTTTGACGTTGTTTATAGAATGTACCAGCATCAAATTTACCCGTATTCAAATAATGATTACTCCCTGAATACAGTGCAGTCGGCACTATCGGACAAGACCATTTTATGAACAGGGGGTTACGTCTTGTATTTCCCGGATATTTTCACGCCAATTCTATGTACCTTTTCCACAATACATATTGTCTTATCTCTCCCAATCTGAATGCGATCGTTCGGCCATTGCGTTCAGCTGCGGTTGCCAGCTAGGTCCATGGGGAACAACTCACTAGACATTCCCCTCACGAAAAATTACGACGTCATCAAGATGCGCGCGCATGTTCGAATCTCCAGAAATGACGTCATGATAGAACAATGCACGCTTCGTTCTTCATTGTTCTTTGCGATGTATCGCGTAACTGTCTTATAGAAATAGATACACGCACCTCCTTTTTTTGCAAGGCAACATATGTTGAGAATCCGGGTGAGGCCATCACAACAGTCGGATCAGCTTCTGGGTGTAGGCGTGGATTATGGAGTAGCACCTGGAAATATATACAGGACTTGGTTTGTTTCGTGAAAATCTGGGTTAGAATAGGTCTTCAGCAACCCATGCTTGCTGTAAAAGGTGACCATGCTTGTCGTAAGAGGCGACAAAAGTGATCGGGTGGTCAGGCTCGCTGACTTGGTTGATGCATGTCATCTCGGTTGATGCATGTCATCGATCCCAAGTGCGTGGATCGATGCTCATGATATGTGTCACTGAATTGTCTGGTCCAGACTCGATTATTTACGGACCGCCGTCATATAGCTGGAATATTGCTGAGTGCGGCGTAAACAACAAACAAACAATCTAACAAGCAAAGTAAACATCAAGGATGAACACATCTGGTGAGATGTTGAATACCAATTGTGTGGATCACCCGATCCCGTTAGACGCCTCTTACGACAAGCAGAGTCGCTTTTTACGGCAAGCATGGGTTGCAGAAGACCTGTTCTCGCCCGGATCTTCACGGGTCTGATGTTTACTTCATCAGTTTGTAATAAAGTGGCGTTAAACCCAACTCAATCACTGATCCACTCGGAAAGGGGGCGATTTACTTTAATCCCCGCGGCCATGTTAGCCCTGAATGTGTAGTCGTCCTGGTGGATGTTGAATGTGACGATCAGGTTAGCGTCGTCTCCTGCCGTCCAAACTTTGACAATTTCAGTGACATTGAAGTTGTAGGAATGGCACAATCCTTGAGTAGTGAAAACAGGTCGGAACTCGGTCATGCAATCAAAGTTGTCTCTACCAAAGGCACATTGAACCAACATCTTTGATCCTTCCATTGACATATTCCTCCACCATTCTAAAGACAATGGATTCTGAAAGACATCTGAAGTTGGTGTAGGAAATGTGAAATTTATATTCCGTTGAAGAGAAGTATTGGCGAAGTAGCTCTCCATTTCTGGGTAAACGTCAAGACGAGTTTTGTTTAGTGTGCATCGGTTGCAGATGGTGACGGCGGGGAACTCGATGAAATGCTTGATGTTGGATGTGACCTTGGTGACAATGGGGTAGCTGTAGTAGTTCCCAAACTCCTCGATAAGGTTATAGATGAGGAACGCTGTAGTTGTACATATAGCTAACGTCCACATCAACCTGTCGAAGGAAAATGATTGCAGTGACTTTTGCGACGTTTACAGTAGTATGTTTATATCATGAATGAGTGAGTATGGTTTTACGCCGCTTTTAGCAATATTCCCGCAATATCATGGCGGGGGACACCAGAAATGGGCTTCACACATTGTACCCATGTCGGGAATCGAACCGGGGTCTTCGGCGTGACGAGCGAACGCTTTAACCACTAGGCTACCCGACCGCCCGTTTATATCATGAAGTCTCTCTATCTGGATCTGATAACCAGTGGTAGCATAAGCATCGTATAATCTCTACCCAGTAAACTGTATGTACACCCAAATAGTTTTTTCTAGCTGCTATTTCAATAGGCCTCGTAATATATGATGTGGTTTATAATAAGTCAAAACATCTTACGCGTGCCTATATGTAAAACACTGTCAATGTGTAAAATTGATAAAATTGCTAAATATTTCACTCATTAAACAAAGTTCAGAAAGGCTTTAAAACATCATAATCGACTAATTATGCAAGGATTAGAAGCCAAAAATTGACTTTTGTTTTCTTTGTATCATACCATGTTCAGTCACTGAGGGATGAAATTAAACATCAAACTATTTGGAATGCGTTATTATAATCAAATAAATGTACAGATGTTTCAGTCAATATGAAAAATAACTAAAAGATATAACGAAAATTGCCAAAGTAAAAATTTCAGTCATTCTATACTTGTCATGTATACACGTACAACCACACCTACCCACGAACGCTGAATGGGTTGATAGAAGGGGCTTTAATCTTTTCAACTGCATGAATGCCTGTGGAGTGACTAAATTCATCCCACAGATCTTTCAATCCATACGTTGGTGAATGTTTCTTTGCATCGGCTGTGGTAGTGTCAGTCATATTTTCGTCCACATTCATCTCTGTAGACAAACATATCATTTCCTGGTGAGGCCACAATCATTAGACATGGTCATGGTTAACATGGTCACAAACTTGTTACATTCACACGTTCATATATTCTTCAGCAACCCATACTTGCCGGCGTGACGAGCGAACGCTTTAACCACTAGGCTACCAGACCGCCACTTGGAATTCAGAAATATAAATTGTCAATGCTAGAGATAACCAGCCTAGTCTTCAGCAACCCATGCTTGCCGTAAAAGGCGACTATGCTTGTCGTAAAAGGCGACTAACGGGATCGGGTGGTCAGGCTCGCTGGTCTTGGTTGATACATGTCATCGATCCCAATTACGTAGATCGATGCTCATGATGTCAATCACTGGATTGTCTGGTCCAGACTCGATTATTTTAGAGACCGCCATCACACAGCTTGAATATTGCTGAGTGCGGCGTTAAACAACAAACAAACAAACAAAACATTCATATTTACACAGTAACAGTTACATTTACATGTAGACCCGTGAAGATCCAGGTTAGAATAAGTCTTCAGCAACCCATGCTTGTCGTATGAGGCGAGTAACGGGATCGGATGGCCAGGCTCGCTGACTTGGTTGATGCATGTCATTGTATCCCAATTGCGAAGATCGATGCACATGACATCAATCACTGGACTGTCTGGTCCAGACTCGATTATTTACAGACCGAGGTCATTTAGCAGGAATATTGCTGAGTGCAGCGTAAAACAACAAACAAACAATATGTACATGTAACACTTCAATCACACGTGACCTTCAATCACTACTAATAGGCACGACATGATAATCAACCTTGCGAAAACCTGGTATCATCACTTTTTTAAAAATATGAATACCTTCAGGACAGTTTAATGATATATATTTACAGCAGTATGTAAATCAGCTGTGGCAAAAGTGGCATAAACGTCTTATTAAATATTTCAACGATATTTTATTCCATCATATCTATGTCAATGGTCAAAGAAAAGTTTGCGGAAAAGACACGTAAGATTTAGTCCCTTGTTTATAGATATCGATACATATATAATATGTCAATCAATATTTCCATATGTCATTATCTAATCAAACTAACTGAGCATCGTTCATGGATGTGTCGTCATTCCATGACTAACGGTCGTTTTAAGTTTAAGTACAGTAACCTACGGTTGTAACGAACTCAAATTGACCACTTAGTTTAGTTCGTAATAACCGTAGTTCGTTATAAGCATATATCAGTGTTCGAAATACCTGCCTGCCCGACCGTCAGAGACGGGTTGATTTCAACTCGGGCTGCCAGATTTTCAAATCCCCCTGCCCGACGGTCGGGTTATATTTCATATGTGACAATATTCTAAATATTTCCCGATGATAATCATTAATTCACATGTAAAGATGAATGATAAAATGTAACCAAAAAGAAACCCCGTTAGCTTATCCTGAGAAACATATGATTATAGTGGGCAGGCAGGTTTTGGTCAGGGCTGGCAAGTATTTCAGCTAGCCAGTCCTGTGGTCTGGCTGAAATTTTTGGGAGTTTCATACTCTGCATATATACAGCATATATACAACAAATGGCCGGAACTAAAACATAGGTTCGTTATATCGGTCGATTCGTTATAAGCGTGTTCTTTATAAACGTAGTTTACTGTATTAGTCAAACATACTGAACCAATGAATGTCAGAGTACTCAAATTGGGATGTAATTCTCTATTTGCACAATCGACAGAAATTTATATAATAATCTTCCCAGATAAATTCCTGACCAAATTCAGCGAAATCCGGTTTGAAATAGTGTTTTGGTTTATCTTACTGTCTTGTATTTTAGGCAAAGTACTTCATTCTTGTAGATGTAGAAACATTGTGGGAATTGCTTCAAATTTGTAAAGACTTTCTTCGTCAGATTTTTTGCACAAAGTATTTGAATAGCAATGATGACAGCAACACATAGTTGACTACATATCCAGGTGAGCTACATTGTAGAAGCACTATTTGTGTCGACGCTTTACTACTGCGAAACAAGACCGCCTCCATTGTCTCGTGAATAGAGAGGTCGTAGAATCAATCCCCGGACACGTCATACATAATACGTTACACTGTGGTACTTGTTGTTACCCTGCCTGGCTTTCGGCATTATGGGGCGAAAACAAGGACTGATCGGTTCGGAGTCAGTTTACTGTGTCTGAGTGGGGTATTCATTTTAAACTGCGGAATGGCATCACAGTGGGCTGGCACTATAAAATCGGTATAAGTCCGGGCTAACTGCAAACCCCTTGTTTCAAATATTTTTTTTAGATCATCAATTTGGAATAAGGCAAATGTATGGGGCCCACAAAATACTACAAAACGAATGCTGGTTTCAAATAATTAATATTTGTACATCGTCAATTTGGAATAAGGCAAATGTACAGGGTCCGTAAAATACGGGAGACAAATTACAAACTGAAACGTGCCACGATCAATCTCATTAAAATCATTTTTGACAAATTGTTCTGAACCTCTGAAGATGGATATGTAACTACAGTAAACTACGGTTATAACGAACTAGCTTATAACGAACTGACGGATATAACGAACTTACTTTTTGGTCCCGACTATTTGCTGTAGTTATACTGTGTATATGGTTATAACGAACTACGGTTATAACGAACTAAAATAAGTAGTCCCTTTGAGTTCGTTATAACCGTAGTTTACTGTATATTTATGGTGCCCAGTGGATCAAGGAATGCAGTTTTCATTTTGGTTAGGCGTGTGAAAAAGTGGTGTGCAAGGTGCAATAAATAAACAAAATATGAGAATTTCTGAGATTGCACAAGTTCAAGTAAATCCTTTGACATTTTTAGAATACGCATTAGATTAATTCCACTTGTCCAAAATTACTTTCTGTGAATATAAAGAAAGTCCTTCCTTGGCTGTATTATTGATCATGGTTAATCAATTGAGACCGGGAGTTGGTGGGAAATTTGATGACCCAGCAATTTATCTCCCATTGTACCTATTTTTATGGATCTTTTTTTACAGTATAAACGAGAAACGGACAAGTCTTCGGGTTTTAGAATCATGGCAAAAGTGAATTATACTGATGCATAGTTTTGGACAGATATCTTTCTCAGTTAACATGCTTGACTTATGTGTTGCAATATTTGATTTTCTCACTTACACCAAGTTCCCATTCCAAGCAATGCCAAAGTAGATACAGAAAAAGATCAAAATTCATCTGCGCTTTGGAATACCATATCGGGAAAAATGTTCAAGTTAAAAACACTTTTGATTTTTCAACTCTTCATGCAACTCTGAGAAACTATACTGAGATCTATTCAGCTACCCAAATATGCGAGTTGTGATTTACTAATTGACAATATCTCTTAGTCACATTTGGGGATATTACATTTAGACAAGTTCTAGGTATCCTCATTGGTACTCAATGTGCCCCTCTCGTTTCTGGTCTTCTTCTTTGTGCGTAGGAATCGCATTGTTTGACAACTTTAGTTAAGTCAAGGAAAGGACATAATTCCGTCCAAGCTTAGATTCAGATATATAGATGACCTCATTTCCTTCAGCAGTGCCAAGAAAAATGAGCATTGTTACCTCATCTATCCATCAGTTGGATATGAATGAACCAACCTAGAATCAATACATTCAGTGTCCCATGTGGACGTATGGCGTCTATATGCAGATATCCCAGCTGCAACTAGGATATGGTTTGGTTTCTTGTTTAACGCCGCACTCAGCAATATTCGAGCTACATGACGGCGGTCTGTAAAATAATCGAGTCTGGACCAGACAATCCAGTGATTGACATCATGAGCATCGATCTACGCAATTGGGATCGATGACATGTATCAACCAAGTCAGCGAGCCTGACCACCCGATCCCGTTAGTCGCCTTTTACGACAAGCATAGTCTCCTTTTATGGCAAGTATGGGTTGCTGAAGACCTATTCTACCCCGGAAACTTCACGGGTCTTTTTGCCTAAAACAATATCCTTTCGACAACATGAAAAGCGGCTCTGCCTAAAATACTAAATGGAAAGTCCCGAAGATGGTAAAACAATATTTAAAACTGATTTGACGTTTGACCAAACCAATCATTATCTTTTTCATTATCATCAAATGCCATTTCCATTATGTGTTTATCTGAACAATATATAAATGACCTAAAGACGGTATATATATAATAAAAGAGTCAAAGATAAAATAAATGCACGACTGGGGTTGGTGTGTATGAACAATACATAGGTAACTGTACCTTCTATGAAGAATATCCTGACACTCTATATGATCTTCGCTATCTTGGCTTCTTCATCCCCATCATGATCTCAGCATGGGGCAGATGACAAGGCAGGTGGAGCTTCTATGCAGCTGTATCAGATGTCCTGCTCAGGCCAGCATTGACTGACAGGTCATCCGGTACGTGTCGTGCGTAAATGAATTGACAACACGCACAAAATCAGAAACAAGTTACATGTCCACAGTGGGCTCAATACCACTGTGTTTCTACACTCCCTGTGAGTTTGCACCCACCCATTCTACCCATAACAAAACAAAGAGTAATGTGATTGTGAAGCTTTTTGTCAATAATTGTGTTAATGGTTCCCTGTTTCACTATTTCTCAAAATTGATTACTCATTAAAATACATTCGTCGCGAGCTGGGAGTCTCCCGTACCACTGTTTGCATTTTCTGTGGATTTCACGTTGATGTTATCCATCAGTGTCATTGACAATATCACCATGGATATCAGCTGCATCAGCGAGACCACAAAACAGTGAGCGTCCCTATTGATAGTGAGTCATTCCTTTAATGTTTATACTTACTTTCAGCAATCCCTTACAGATACAAACGGATACAAACTACCGAAAACAACACTCTGAAGTAATTAAATATTACAGATGTAATTGATATAACTGCTATGATATAACAAATTTTTATATTTAATTTTTCTTCTCTTGATTAATGGCTATTATTATATACTTAAGGGTGAACGACTGAGATTTCTAAAGGTTATAAAAGTGATATTTAATATAAAGTTCACGTATTTTATGTTTAATATGATTGATATTATTTGCGTGCAGCTATGTCTGAAAAGGTCAATGTGTATAGTAGGGAGAAGGGAAATTTTGCGTTTTAATTGTTTTGGGTAATTGAAGTACATAACATTATATAATAAATAGGATATTCATGTGTCTATTGAAATATGATGCATCGCTCATCTCGGGACGTGGAAAAGGAGATATTTTCAATTGTGGCGCAGAATTATCCTCAATATATCCTTTGGGGATTGCGGGTTAGAATAGGTTCCCAGCAACCTATGCTGGTCCCACTCATGGGGAATCGGGTTAGAATAGGTTCCCAGCAACCTATGCTGGTCCCACTCATGTGAAATCGAGTTAGAATTGGTCCCCGGGAACCAATACTGGTCCATCCCATGGGCATTCCGGGTTAAAATGGGTCCCCAGCAACTATGTTGGTCCATCCAGGGGGGAATCCGGGTTAGAATAGGTCCCCAGAAATATATGATGGTCCACCCCGCAAGGATTTGATATTCCGGGCATTCTTGGTTAAAATAGGTCCCAAGCAACCTATGCTGGCCGTAAGAGGCATCAAAGTTGATCGAATGACAACGCTCGTTGAATTATTTGATGGCATGTTAGCGTACCCGATCGTTGTTGACAAGGTCAGTCACTGGATTATCAGACGTGATTATTTTCAGGCCACTGCAGTCGCACTCAGCAATATTCCAGCTATATGCCGGCGATCTGTAACTAATCGAGTCTGGACCAGACAATCCAGAGCTTGACAACTTGAGCATCGATCCACGTAATCGGGATACGATAACGTGCATCAACCAAGTCAGCGAGCCTGGACACCCCTTCCCGTCAGTCGCCTCTTACGACAAGCATTGGTAACTGAAGACCTATTCTACCCCGTATCTTCACGGGTCTGCAATAAGTGAGATAAATATAAAAAGTCAACGTCAGAATACCTGGTTTCATTGCTGATTTTCATTGATACAATCATATAATGTACATCTCTATTTCGCCTTTTATGCCAAATGGAATCTGTTTCGGCAGAAAATCGAGACTGATTCTTCTATGGTGTTGATGTTTTATATAATATTATGCATAGCATAGAGAGTACTTGTCTGGCAAATATTCCACTGAGAGATCACCGAGTGCATCTGCTGAAACTGTCCACATGAAGACCGATGACAAACGTTTGCGTCCAGCATTCCAAATTCTTGGAACCATGCTTGCTGTAAAATGCGACTATGCTTGTCGTAAGAGGCGACTAACGGGATCGGGTGGTCAGGCTCGCTGACTTGGTTGATGCATGTCATCGATCCAAATTGCGTAGATCGATGCTCATGATGTCAATCACTGGATTGTCTGGTCCAGACTCGATTATTTACAGACATCCGTCATATAGCTCGAATATTGCTGAGTGCGGCGTAAAACAACAAACCAAACCAAAACCAATGGTAACTTCAATTGCTGTCGTAGATTCAACGAACTTGTGTATACTTCACTTTTGAAATACATTTTGGATTGAAAACACTGTTCAGGCAAAATATTTAATTTTTTCTGAAGAACTGTACGATAAGATACAGACAAGTTCATCTGAGGTTTATCTAGGTATGGTTGAAGTGCTCATTATCTAAACAACGAAATTCGCTTGATGAACCCAACATGAATTCAAGAAAGGTAATTTTTTGAAAGTTAAACGCGATTCCAATATATTATTCTGAAGTGTTAAATTGTTCATCCTTATTGTTGAACAAGCATGACAAAGAAGATGATTGTATGTTTGCAATTGTAAATACATAATACTTGATTTCTGTCAAAACGATAGACACCACTACCAACTTGTCCAATACATTTGCAAAGTTTCTTGAAGAAATGCTGAACGTGTTTGCACCAGAAACATTAAATTTTGAAAGATTCCGGAAATATTATAGGAGCCATTTTAACAGTTGCCCGATGTGTATACAAAGCTATAAGAAAAGGTTTACAGGTTATGCCATTCAACGAATCCCAGCAGCTTTTTGAGCAAACGTCAGTACAAGGGGCATAACAAGTGTCACTGGTTCATATTATTTCTCTATGGTGGTTTTCAAACTTAATATCATATTCATCAAGTAATGATGCATTCACAATTACATTTATAGTGGTTTCCAGAAATCAGCGGTACTGTGTGCACCACGCTTAGTGAGTGAGTGAGTTGGGTTTAACGCCGCGTTTAACAGTATTCCAGGCATATTGCGGCGTGTCAGCTTAATGTGGCAGGAAAGCCCGAAGTGATGCAGGTCTCAGACATTTACCACTTCGGTGTAACCCACGAGCACGGGTATGGTGCTGACAAACCTAGAAACATAATTGGGGCGATCCGGGATTCGAACCCACAATCATAGGTTTCTGGCGTGCCCAAGGGATGCAACTCTGCACAGCGAATCGCGGCGCCTTAGACGACTAGGCCACCCGTGCCCCCGCACCACGCTTAAATTGTCAAACAAGGGTAATAACAGCTATAATGAATTATAATAATAATATGATAAAATATATGGTTTTTTCATGATTCGATATTCCAACCCCATACATTTTCAACCGAATCCGAGGAGAAGCACTTTCTCTGGTTTATAACAACATTTATTGATATAAGTTTACATTATGTATAAAGTTGTGTTACGACAGTCACAGGAAATACTTCTTCCTATTTGCACTGTCTAACATTTGTGAAAAGCAATAATGGAATTGCTATCGTCTTGTCAGTTGTGTTGTCTACCAGGTGTTGATTCTGTTACGGGCTTTTCTTCCTCTACACTTGTCACAGAGGAAGAGGATGATGAACACCAAGAGCTCCGTGATCTCCATGATTGTCAAATTGCTGGCTCCGAGGCACAATCCCATCTGTCCCCCGATATTAGCTACAACAACAATAGCTCAATTCATCAACCTCGTAATTCCCAACAAAGTTGCTATTACTTTATGGAATGCAAAAATCTCGTATGCTTGTAGACATCAACTAATGAAAATCAGTCAAACTCTGTTAGGTTGGTTTGTTTGTTGTTCAACAATATTCCAGCTTAATTACAGCGGTCTGTATAAATAATGCAGTCTGGACCAGACAATCCAGTGACTGACATCATGAGCATTGTTAAGTTGCGATATGATGACATGCATCAACCACGTCAGCGATCCTGACCAGCCGATCCCGTTAGTCGCCTCTTACGACAAGCAGAGTCGCATTTTATGGCACGCATGGGTTGCTGAAGACCTAGTCTAACCCGGATCGTCACAGGTGCAGTCAACCTCTGACATATCATGAACTAGGAAAGCGCATTGACAGCTGCAGGGCCAGATGATGGAGGAATATAATTCTTTATTACAACAGCATGTGGGACATCGAATTGGATATAATATGGTTGTATTTGCAATGTAGAGGTTTGGATTGGTTGTTTATTGTAATGTTTTACCAAAGGTGTAAATTATTTCGTGATTTCAGTTTTCTTCCGACTCGTGCGAATAAGTTTGGGTTAACGCTGCTTCGAACGTGATTTCGAGCAAGCATATGATTCTGACAGTGCATGTTTTTTCATATCCGCTCGTCTATATAAACGTTTATGATCCGTGGTTTGTTTGTTTGTTTAACGCTGCACTCAGCAATATTCCAGCTATATGATGGCGGTCTGTAAATAATCAAGTCTGGACCAGACAATCCAGTGATTTATATCATGAGCATCGATCCGCGCAATTGGGATCGATGATATGCTTCAACCAAGTCAGCGACCCTGACCACCCGATCCTGTTTGTCGCCTTTTACGACAAGCATAGTCACCTTTTACGGCAAGCATAGGTTGCTGAAGACCTATTCTACCCCTGAATCTTCACGGGTCTGTTGGAAACTGAGCAATGCGTACATCATAAGATAAACCCTGGAAAAGCATGTCACTTACAAAACAGCGAGGCCACCGTATATTGAGGTTGCTGTGCTGTGGATGTCACCATCATATTGTCGTAAAACACTCTAAGCTCCAGGAAGTTTTCTCTGAATAACAGCAAATACATGCACAACTTTGTTTGTATGTTTGTTTGTTGTTTAACGCCGCACTCAGCAATATTCCAGCTATATGATGGCGGTCTGTAAATAATCAAGTCTGGAACAGACAATCCAGTGATTGATATCATGAACATGCACAACTAATGTAGTGAGAAACTTAATATGGTTGGGAATCCAAAAGTGTACGATCATATTCGATGGTAATCTGGCTTTGGATGTATGACCAGCGACCTTTCCATCTAAGGGACATGACAATTTTGAAGGTTCATTTCGTTTGCTAAAATTGCGTTTCATTCAGAAGAAACTTAAAACATAAAAGACCCTTTCTGTATTAATGCGAAATCTTGATTGTACGATTCTGACTATGTCGTGAGTATGTCTTTATGAATCACTAACGAATTGTGATGATACCAGGTGTTCGCGAAAAGGTTAGTGTATCCTGCCCCACCGGTGGCACCCATCACGAACACATGCGAATGCAAATCAATTGCTCGGACATCATATTTAGACAGTGCGCTCCACGTGTCTGCCATAGAACTTTTTGAAAGATTTGCTGGGGTTTGGATTTGGTAAAATTGATGAAACGACTTTTGAGCAAGAGTCGTATAAAGCTCTTTGAAATGTTCGGAGAAAGGACATGCTTTGTTTTTCCTAAAAAAATATGACATGTAGACACCAAAGGCTGGAGCTGCTGGAATATTGCTCGACATGAAGAAAACGTTTGAAAGTTGAAGTCATCCAGTCTTGAGGAGAGTTCAGACCAATCCTTCCTTTGTTTCCGATCCGTTGTTCAGGTACATCAGCAAAACGTTTCAGACTGTACGCTACACAGTGTCTACGTATAGGTGAATTACAGAGCTGATTATAGAGAATGAAGATAAATTGAATTTGTTTTAATCAGTGCTGTAATTAGCAGATAAGTAGAAAATTATCTTTGCACTGCAACACCAAGTGACAATTTCAACCCTTTTGGGTCAGGAGACGAGATATTATGTGACAAGCAATTGCAAATGTTCTACCTATTATGCAATTCTGCAATTGACTGAAGAAACATCGTGTAGGTGGGGCGGACTGAAAATAGTTCCAGCTTTGCACCTGAGTAAAATATCGACTTAAACTGTATTTCATTGCTACAAAGACAATAAAGAGGCATAAATTAAGAAATGAATAGTATGTGTCTGTAGATGTTTGGATGCGCATGAGTATTCAATTCCTGAATATTTTATTTGGAGTGAGTGAGTGAGTTGGGATTAACGCCGCTTTTAACAGTATTCCAGTTATATTGCGGCGTGTCAGCTTAATATGGGAGGAAAGCTCGACGTGATGCAGGTCTTAGACGTTTACCAGTTCGGTGAAACCAACGAGCGCGGGTCTGGTGCTGACAAACCTTGAAACATAATCGGGGCGAACCGGGATTCGAAAACACAATCATAGATTTCTGGCGTGCCCCGGGGACGCAACTCTGCACAGTGAACCGCGGCGCCTTAGACGACTGGGCCACCCTTGCCCCCTATTCTATTTGGAAACAACGGACGAAAACAATTGAACAAAATTGAAATATTCTTCCAAAGTGTTTACCACGGGTAGTTTAGTGTATTTGAAACACATAAAAGATGTGAATGTGTGTTTTGGAAAAAGAGTCTGGTGTCAGTTTATATGCAAATCTTACACCATGGTCGCCCTGTCCCGAGTCTCTGTAGAGTTGAGGAAGGTGTTGACCCAGATGTTTGCTGGGAAGGAGCTGGAGGACACCTGGGCAGTGTACCTGATGAGCGTGCATTCACCGACGCACCCACATTCCTTCACGAAGGTACCATTCTTGGACATTTCTCCTGTGTAAACAAATAGTCTTTGTGCCATGATTCTTCATTTGTTTGTTTGTTTATTTGTTGTTTAACGCAGCACTCAGCAATATTTCAGCTTGACTAATGACATGGCCTAATAACTTTCAGGGCTGTAGACGTGTAAAAAGTCAATGCGAGATAATAACTAGTCTTGACTATCTGCAGAAACATTCCAGTGAGTGAGTGAGTCTTTTGACAGTACTCCAGTTACATGAATGCGTGTTAGCTTAGCGGGAGGAAAGCCCCGAGTGGTGCGGGTCTCAGACGTTTACCACTTCCGAGAAACACACAAGCACGGGTGTGGTGCCTACAAACATAATCGAGGCGAACCGGGATTCGAACCAAGGGACGCACCTCTGCACAGCGAATCGCGGCGCCTTAGACGAATGGGCCTCCCGTGCCCCCCAAAACATCCCTTTTGGCGTAAAGGGCAACATACCTTTGAAAAATATAAGAGTGGACCACTGGAAAATCAGTGATGTCGTTCGGTTTTGTTCCGCGTCATTTTTTAGATAATTGCACATGTTGTGTTTTTCTTAAGTTTAAAGAAAAGGGCCAGGATGTTCCCAGTCGCGGAGACTCTACCTATTTACTCCAGCAACATCATGACAGGGAACACAAATAACAGGGACTTCACACATACTCAAGTACTCATCGTTTTTCATAACAAGTGCTTTAATTACGGCGCTACCTGCCTGTCTCTGCTCACAAACAATTCACAAAACAAACCTTTGTGTCACGCTTAAAAGTCCATTTTACATAGGGATACATATTGGGTACAGATTAATAACCGTATCATTAATCATTTTAAACAATTTACTACTGGAAAACAGTATTCCATGAAGATAAATATATTAATCAGTTGCTATTGTCCTGAAAATAGCTTTCTTGTTAGTAACCCTTATTAGGTAATGTTCCTCGGTCCATGAATCAGTTTCAGATTATTTTTGGAAATTGACAATTTCCAGTTAAAAGGTTGGTTGGTTGGTTGGTTGGTTTTTAACGCCGCACTCAGCAATATTCCAGCTATATGACGGCGGTCTGTAAATAATGGAGTCTGGACCAGACAATCCAGTGATTAATGTCATGAGCATCGATCCACGCAATTGGGATCGATGATATGCATCAACCAAGTCGGCGAGCCTGACCACCCGATCCCGTTAGTCGCCTTTTACGACAAGCATAGTCACCTTTTACGGCAAGTTAAAAGGAGTGGTTATGGAATGCAACTAACATTTATTATCAGATAATGTGCTTGGTTTCCAAAAATATCAAAAGGATCTGCTTGGAATTCAGAGTGAATGAGTGAGTGAGTATGGTTTTACGCCGCTTTTAGCAATATTCCAACAATACCACGGCGGGGGACACCAGAAATGGGCTTCACACATTGTACCCATGTCGGGAACCGAACCCGGGTTTTTGGCGTGACGAGCGAACGCTTTAACCACTAGGCTACCCGACCGCCCCTTGGAATTCAGAAATATAAATTGTCAATGCTAGAGATAGCCAGCCTAGTCTTCAGCAACCCATGCTTGCCGTAAAAGGTGACTATGCTTGTCGTAAAAGGCGACTAACGGGATCGGGTGGTCAGGCTCGCTGACTTGGTTGATGCATGTCATCGATCCCAATTGCGTGGATCGATGCTCATGATGTCAATCACTGGATTGTCTGGTCCAGACTCAATTATTTACAGACCGCCGTCATACAGCTGGAATATTGCTGAGTGCGGCGTTAAACAACAAACCAACCAGCCAAACGATGTTCTGCCGGAACAGATTCCACTTGGCGTAAAGGACAAATAGCCCTGGAAATTATATGAATGAACCACTGAAAATGAGTGATGACACCAGGTGTTCGCGAAAAGGGTACGCATGTCCTGCCCTACCAGTTGCACCCGCCAATCATACAATTTGGATAAAAAAAGTAAGTATTTATTGCCTGATGCCACACAGCAGTACTCCTGCCATGCGACCACACTATCAAGTGATGGATGACCCAGAAAATCCAATGACAAGACAGGACCATTACTGATTTTGTTGAAACTAACAAAAAAGGTATGTTAATTTTGAATTACGTCTGCTGTGTACAAATACAGAAATTTTGAAAAACATTTAAAATATATTCGTTTTGAAACACGAAGGGTGCAGTTTTATAGTCTCGGCCCCAACATTTCTTTTGTAGTTGACTCAGCACAGATTAATGCTACTGAGCTGATGATGAAACGTGGGAACTTCAGTCCACCAGCAAAAACATCGATCCAGTTCAAATAAATGTAAATTGTACATGCAAGAGAATAACCAGCCTATATACGTTCTGCCGAAACGGATTCCCCTTGGCGTAGCAGCTGAAATTTTAAGAATGGACCACTGAAAATCAGTGATGACACCAGGTGTTCGCGAAAAGGGTAAGCATGTCCTGCCCTCATTTAACCCCACTATACACCATTATCATACACGATCAACTGAGGAAATTTTCATGTTCTAATCCAAAACATGCTGACGATAGATACAGTTATCTTTATCTTCAAGGTTAATGAAAAATTGTCCAAATGAAAGCAGATGTCACAAGTTTACTGAGAAAACAATATTTGAAATGTTATTTTCAGAAACTGTCCAAAGTACGATTGATAGTTATTGCATAAATCTGATTTATCCTGAATGAATTTTTGGTGACAAATTTGTCCCTACTAACCACACCCCTACTCCGCTCATCCGTCTAGAATATCACCGGTGAACGGTTGTAATACTCACTGACAAAGGTCGTGTAACAGCTATCCTGCTTCACCAGAGAGCACCTGGGAAGATCCTCTGCAATTAATATCAAAGAATTGTAATTAAGTTCTACGTTTTATAACACTGACGGGTTTGTTTAGTGATTGTTCAAGTAGTAATCTTACCTTGTCAGTATTCGTGAACGAATTAGTTCAACCTGCCGGGAATGTGTGTCATCATGCTCAAACAGTAGTGATGTTAAACTCCTTTAAGTGGCATTTAGAAGTTGGTATGATTTGTTTGTTGTTTAACGCCGCACTCAGCGAAATTCCAGCTATATGACGGCGGTCTGGAAATAATCGAGTCTGGTCCAGACAATCCAGTGATGACATCATGAGCATCGATCCACGCAATTGGGATCGAGGACGTGTATCAACCAAGTCAGCGAGCCAGACTTCCCGAAACAGACCGCCGTCATATAGCTGGAATATTGCCGAGTTCGGCGTTAAACAACAAACAAACAAACCAAGTCAGCGAGCCTGACCACCCGATCCCGTAAGTCGACTCTTACGACAAGCATAGTAGCCCATTACGGCAAGCATGGGTTGCTGAAGACCTATTCTCCCCCGGATCTTCACGGGTCTTACGTGGATCAGATGGACCGACACATCCACACTCATCGAAAGCCTTTATCCGGACACACTCCATGAAGCAATGTTCGTAGGTGAAGGGGGAGTAGTACTTGAGAGGGTTCACAAACTCGGCACTATTTGTGTCCACACATTCCATGTCATCAAATGCCTTGTAGGGACCGGGCAGGAAACTATACTACAAATCAAAGTCACAAGTTAGTGATGTCCCATTTAAAACTGCCAACTATTGGAAATGGCAATTGAAAATAATGTATAGAGAAAATGACATTACTATATAGAGGGTGAATACAAAATGTAAATGTGTTCAAATAGAAAAAAATGAAAAGCTGCATAGAAGAAGACAGCTTTCAACACTGTCCCATTGTGATTTACTTTCCCAGGAGATGTCAACATTCTCTGGAGTGTAAGAAGGATGCGTATTTGTTGCGAAACTTCCAGTCCAAAACAAAATGTCACTATGTATTCCGGGGCACCGCAATTCACTGTGCAGAGATGCGTCTCTTGGGCTCGACAGACGCTATCAACGTGGGTTCGAATCCTGGTTCGAGGTTTATCAGCACCATACCCGAGCTCGTGGGTTTCACAAAAGTGATAAACGTCTGAGACCTGTATTACTTCGGCTTTTCCTCCCACATCAAGCTGAAACGCCGTTATATAACTTTGAATATTGTTCAAAGCGGCGTAGAACCCAACTTACTCACTCACATACTATGTATTTATACTTGATTTAATTTCTAACATATCAACATTTTTTACAGCCTCTTTGACGTTGTTTATAGAATGTACCAGCATCAAATTTACCCGTATTCAAATAATGATGACTCCCTGAATACAGTGCAGTCGGCACTATCGGACAAGACCATTTTATGAACAGGGGGTTACGTCTCGTATTTCCCGGATATTTTCACAATTTTCACGCCAATTCTATGTACCTTTTCTACAATACATATTGTCTTATCTCTCCCAATCTGAATGCGATCGTTCGGTCATTGCGTTCAGCTGCGGTTGCCAGCTAGGTCCATTGGGAACAAATCACTAGACATTCCCCACTCTCCTACCCAGAGTTCCATGCGGCCGGCAGGCAGCTAGCATAGTACCTCTGCCACAGGCCAGCGCCATGTGACGATTCGTCACATCTTTCACAGTCCATTCAAGATATTGCATATGCTTTTCATCCGTTTCATGTTTGACAAGTCTACACATTTTCATAAACAAATGTCAAAGAATGGTTAACTTTCATTGAGAAAGTATGCAAATACGTAAAAATCTACTTGTTTTTGCGTAGTTATCCTATGTTTACATTGGTTGTACGGCTCCACGTGCTGTCATTGAAGCCCAACGGAGAGCTAGCGACACGGTCACTTTGATGCATAAATATATATTGTCATGCAACTCACTGTCGCAGTTGTAGTAGCATATCTATATAGTTATGCAAAACAATATGTAAAGCGCCCCCAAATTAGTCCGTTCTATACTGATTTCTGAAAAAGCGCGTTTGTTTACAAACAAGAGAAAAGTCCGGTCACGTGATATGCAAATTAGCCTGTGGCAGTGGTGTTATGCTGAGTCACCACTGCGACGGAGTGTGGACATTCCCCTCACGAAAAATTACGACGTCATCAAGATGCGCGCGCATGTTCGAATCTCCAGAAATGACGTCATGATAGAACAATGCACGCTTCGTTCTTCATTGTTCTTTGCGATGAATCGCGTAACTGTCTTATAGAAATAGATACACGCACCTCCTTTTTTTGCAAGGCAACATATGTTGAGAATCCGGGTGAGGCCATCACAACAGTGGGATCAGCTTCTGGGTGTAGGCGTGGATTATGGAGTAGCACCTGGAAATATATACAGGACTTGGTTTGTTTCGTGAAAATCTGGGTTAGAATAGGTCTTCAGCAACCCATGCTTGCTGTAAAAGGTGACTATGCTTGTCGTAAGAGGCGACAAAAGGGATCGGTTGGTCAGGCTCGCTGACTTGGTTGATGCATGTCATACTTGGTTGATGCATGTCATCGATCCCAAGTGCGTTGCTCGATGCTCATGATATGTGTCACTGAATTGTCTGGTCCAGACTCGATTATTTACGGACCGCCGTCATATAGCTGGAATATTGCTGAGTGCGGCGTAAACAACAAACAAACAATCTAACAAGCAAAGTAAACATCAAGGATGAACACCTCTGGTGAGATGTGGAACACCAATTGTGTGGATCACCCGATCCCGTTAGACGCCTCCTACGACAAGCAGAGTCGCTTTTTACGGCAAGCATGGGTTGCAGAAGACCTGTTCTCGCCCGGATCTTCACGGGTCTGATGTTTACTTCATCAGTTTGTAATAAAGTGGCGTTAAACCCAACTCAATCACTGCTCCAATCTGAAAGGAGGCGATTTACCTTAATCCCCGCGGCCATGTTAGCCCTGAATGTGTAGTCATCCTGGTGGATGTTGAAAGAGACGATCAGGTTAGCGTCGTCTCCTGCCGTCCAAACTTTGACAATTTCAGTGACATTGAAGTTGTAGGAATGGCACAATCCTTGGGTAGTGAAAACAGGTCGGAACTCGGTCATGCAATCAAAGTTGTCTCCACCAAAGGCACATTGAACCAACATCTTTGATCCTTCCATTGACATATTCCTCCACCATTCTAAAGACAATGGATTCTGAAAGACATCTGAAGTTGGTGTAGGAAATGTGAAATTTTTATTCCGTTGAAGAGAAGTATTGGCGAAGTAGCTCTCCATTTCTGGGTAAACGTCAAGACGAGTTTTGTTGAGTGTGCATCGGTTGCAGATGGTGACGGCGGGGAACTCGATGAAATGCTTGATGTTGGATGTGACCTTGGTGACAATGGGGTAGCTGTAGTAGTTCCCTAACTCCTCGATAAGGTTATAGATGAGGAACGCTGTAGTTGTACATATAGCTAACGTCCACATCAACCTGTCGAAGGAAAATGATTAGAGTGACTTTTGCGACGTTTACAGTAGTATGTTGATATCATGAAGTCTCTCTATCTGGATCTGATAACCAGTGGTAGAATAAGCATCGTATAATCTCTACCCAGTAAACTGTATGTACACCCAAATAGTTTTTTCTAGCTGCTATTTCAATAGGCCTCGTAAAATATGATGTGGTTCATAATAAGTCAAAACATCTTACGCGTGCCTATATGTAAAACAATGTCAATGTGTAAAATTGATAATATTGCTAAATATTTCACTCAATAAACAAAGTTCAGAAAGGCTTTAAAACATCATAATCGACTAATTATGCAAGGATTAGAAGCCAAATATTGACTTTTGTTTTCTTTGTATCATACCATGTTCAGTCACTGAGGGATGAAATTAAACATCAAACTATTTGGAATGCGTTATTATAATCAAATAAATGTACAGATTTTTCAGTCAATATAAAAAAAACACTAAAATATATAACGAAAATTGCCAAAGTAAAAATTTCAGTCATTCTATACTTGTCATGTATACTAGTGTTTACACCTACAACCACACATACCCACGAACGCTGAATGGGTTGATAGAAGGGGCTTTAATCTTTTCAACTGCATGAATGCCTGTGGAGTGACTAAATTCATCCCACAGATCTTTCAATCCATACGTTGGTGAATGTTTCTTTGCATCGGCTGTGGTAGTGTCAGTCATATTTTTGTCCACATTCATCTCTGTAGACAAACATATCATTTCCTGGTGAGGCCACAATCATTAGACATGGTCATGGTTAACATGGTCACAAACTTGTTACATTCACACTTTCATATTTTCATCAGCAACCCATACTTGCCGGCGTGACGAGCGAACGCTTTAACCACTAGGCTACCAGACCGCCACTTGGAATTCAGAAATATAAATTGTCAATGCTAGAGATAACCAGCCTAATCTTCAGCAACCCATGCTTGCCGTAAAAGGCGACTAACGGGATCGGGTGGTCAGGCTCGCTGGTCTTGGTTGATACATGTCATCGATCCCAATTACGTAGATCGATGCTCATGATGTCAATCACTGGATTGTCTGGTCCAGACTCGATTATTTTAGAGACAGCCGTCATACAGCTGGAATATTGCTGAGTGCGGCGTTAAACAACAAACAAACAAACAAAACATTCATATTTACACAGTAACAGTTACATTTACATGTAGACCCGTGAAGATCCAGGTTAGAATAAGTCTTCAGCAACCCATGCTTGTCGTAAGAGGCGAGTAACGGGATCGGATGACCAGGCTCGCTGACTTGGTTGATGCATGTCATTGTATCCCAATTGCGTAGATCGATGCACATGACATCAATCACTGGACTGTCTGGTCCAGACTCGATTTTTTACAGACCGGGGTCATATAGCAGGAATATTGCTGAGTGCAGTGTAAAACAACAAACAAACAATATGTACATGTAACACTTCAATCACACGTGACCTTCAATCAGTACCAATAGGCACGACATGATAATCAACCTTGCGAAAACCTGGTATCATCACTTTTTTAAAAATATGTTTTTAATAAACGTCTTATTAAATATGTCAACGATATTTTTTTCCATCATATCTATGTCAATGGTCAAAGAAATGTTTGCGGAAAAGACACGTAAGATTTAGTCCCTTGTTTATAGATATCGATACATATATAATATGTCAATCAATATTTCCATATGTCATTATCTAATCAAACTAACTGAGCATCGTTCATGGATGTGTCGTCATTCCATGACTAACGGTCGTTTTAAGTTTAAGTACAGTAACCTACGGTTGTAACGAACTCAAATTGACCACTTAGTTTAGTTCGTAATAACCGTAGTTCGTTATAAGCATATATCAGTGTTCGAAATACCTGCCTGCCCGACCGTCCGAGACGGGTTGATTTTCAAATCCCCCTGCCCGACGGTCGGGTTATATTTCATATATGACAATATTCTAAATATTTCCCCGATGATAATCATTAATTCACATGTAAAGATGAATGATAAAATGTAACCAAAAAGAAACCCCGTTAGCTTATCCTGAGAAACATATGATTATAGTGGGAAAGCAGGTTTTGGTCAGGGCTGGCAAGTATTTCAGCTAGCCAGTCCTGTGGTCTGGCTGAAATTTTTGGGAGTTTCATACCCTGCATATATACAGCATATATACAACACATGGCCGGAACTAAAACATAGGTTCGTTATATCGGTCGGTTCGTTATAAGCGTGTTCTTTATAAACGTAGTTTACTGTATTACTCAAACATACTGAACCACTGAATGTCAGAATACTCAAATTGGGATGTAATTCTCTATTTGCACAATCGACAGACATTTATATAATGATCTTCCCAAATAAATTCCTGACCAAATTCAGCGAAATCCGGTTTGAAATAGTGTTTTGGTTTATCTTACTGTCTTGTATTTTAGGCAAAGTACTTCATTCTTGTAGATGTAGAAACATTGTGGAAATTGTGTAACTTGCTTCACATTTGTTAAGACTTTCTTCGTCAGATTTTTTGCACAAAGTATTTGAATAGCAATGATGACAGCAACACATAGTTGACTACATATCCAGGTGAGCTACATTGTAGAAGCACTATTTGTGTCGACGCTTTTCTACTGCGAAACAAGACCGCCTCCATTGTCTCGTGAATAGAGAGGTCGTAGAATCAATCCCCGGACACGTCATACATAATACGTTACACTGTGGTACTTGTTGTTACCCTGCCTGGCGTTCGGCATTAAGGGGCGAAAACAAGGACTGATCGGTTCGGAGTCAGTTTACTGTGTCTGAGTGGGGTATTCATTTTAAACTGCGGCATGGCATCACAGTGGGCTGGCACTATAAAATCAGTATAAGTCCGGGCTAACTGCAAACCCCTGTTAGTTTCAAATATTTATTTTTTTAGATCATCAATTTGGAATAAGGCAAATGTATGGGTCCCACAAAATACTGCGAAACACGCTGGTTTCAAATAATTATTATTTGTAGATCGTCAATTTGAAATAAGGCAAATGTACAGGGTCCGTAAAATACGGGAGACAAATTAAAACGTGCATTAGGGCTACTTTAAATAAGTTGTGGACCGGTCTCGAGGGGTGTATGATGTGATTGTGTGCGAGCCTGATAGGAAAAATGTATGGCTATTGTGAACATAAAGCATGCATGTTAATGGTTGGTGTTTTGTTTCCCGTACACCCGATCCAATAACTCACTTAAGGGACCTATTCTATCAGGAAATACCAGCGGATTGCACATTGAATAATCACAACATCACGCAACATTCACCTTTATTTCTAAACAATAGAAAACGTCAGCACCAGAAATTAAACTAATGCTGCTGTAATATTGTTCGACATAAAGGCCAAGTTGAAGTCGTCCCCCTTGTCTTGTGGAATTGTGAAGAATGTTTCCAATCAGGTTTTTTTCTCACCTTTTTGTCAGTTATGCATGGATCTAAATATAAAATAGATGGGACGGTTTCACTGGGGTCTGTTATTTCTAGTTCAGGGGAGTAAATCAGTGGAAAGTTATTGGCTTTTTTACCGTTATTGATATCATCGATATACCTGAGGCTTAAGTTAAAGCTATTGGCCAAATTTCTTTGTTTTGAATTTGCCGATCCGAGCACAGAAATTCATATGCATAAAGAAACAGATCCGCAAGAAGGGAAGCACAATTGGTGTCATGGGAATGTCACTTCTTACCTAAAAACCTTACCCTCATTTTTTACATAGATGTCCAACACATATTTTTTTTCTCAGTAAACTTCAAAAGAACCTTGCCTTCATTTTTGACAAATTGTTCTGAACCTCTGAAGATGGATATGTAACTACAGTAAACTACGGTTATAACGAACACGCTTATAACGAACTGACGGATATAACGAACTTACTTTTTGGTCCCGACTATTTGCTGTAGTTATACTGTGTATATGCTTATAACGAACTACGGTTATAACGAACTAAAATAAGTAGTCCCTTTGAGTTCGTTATAACCGTACTTTACTGTATATTTGTGGTGCCCAGTGGATCAAGGAATGCAGTTTTCATTTTGGTTAGGCGTGTGGAAAAGTGGTTTTGCAAGGTGCAATAAATAAACAAAATATGAGAATTTCTGAGATTGTAAAAGTTCAAGTAAATCCTTTGACTTTTTTAGAATACGCATTAGATTAATTCCACTTGTCCAAAATTACTTTCTGTGAATATAAAGAAAGTCCTTCCTTGGCTGTATTATTGATCATGGTTAATCATTGAGACCGAGAGTTGGTGGGGAATTTGATGACCCAGCATTTTATTTCCCATTGTACCTATTTTTATGGATCTTTTTTACAGTACAAACGAGGAACGGACAAGTCTTCGGGTTTTAGAATCTTGGCAAAAGTGAATTATACTGATGCATAGTTTTGGACAGATATCTTTGTCAGTTAACATGCTTGACTTATGTGTTGCAATATTTGATTTTCTCACTTACACCAAGTTCCTATTCCAAGAAATGCCAAAGTAGATACAGAAAAAGATCAAAATTTATTGGCGCTTTGGAATACCATATCGGGAAAAATGTTCAAGTTAAAATTACTTTTGATTTTTCAACTCTTCATACAACTCTGAGAAACAATACTGGGATCTATTCAGCTACCCAAATATGCGAGTTGCTTGATTTACTAATTGACAATATCTCTTGGTCAAATTAGGGGATATTACATTTAGACAAGTTCTACGTATCCTCATTGGTACTCAGTGTGCCCCTCTCGTTTCTGATCTACTTCTTTGTGCGTAGGAATCGCATTGTTTGACAACTTTAGTTAAGTCAATGAAAGGACATATATCCGTCCAAGATTCAGATATATAGTTATTCAGCAATGCCAAGAAAAATGAGTATTGTTACCTGATCAACATCCTATCACATCTAGCGTATGGTGTCTACATGTACATATTCCAGTTTCCCGTGAAGATTCCGGGGTAGAATAGGTCTTCAGCAACCCATGCTTGCCGTAAAAGGTGACTCTGCTTGTTGTAAAAGGCGACCAACGGATCGGGTGGTCAGGCTCGCTGACTTGGTTGATGCATGTCATCGGTCCGAATTGGGTGGATCGATGCCATGATATTAATCACTGGATTGTCTGGTCCAGACTCGATTATTTACAGACCGCCGTCATATAGCTGTACTATTGCTGAGTGCGGCGTTAAACAAGAAACCAAACCATATCCCAGTTGCATTGGTTCTTCTACATATTATTCAAATTTTACAGACACAATATGCTTTCACAACAAAAAAAACCTGGTCAGTTTATTCTAGGAAAGGTATGGTCGACATTTACGTTTCAGGATATGCTCTTTTTTAAATACAGTAAAGTACGGTTATAACGAACTCAAAGGGACTACTTATTTTAGTTCGTTATAACCGTAGTACGTTATAAGCATATACACAGTATAACTACAGCAAATAGTCGGGACCAAAAAGTAAGTTCGTTATATCCGTCAGTTCGTTATAAGCGTGTTCGTTATAACCGTAGTTTACTGTATTTGGACGTCAGGGATGTTTCGAATGTTGTAAAAACTGCATCAATATAAGTAGCTTTTGATAACTGTACATGAGGAATTGGGTTTGTATGTTTCCAAGAGAAACTGTTGTCCTGATGTTCGATCTCTTGAAACAACAGTGTTTTGAAAATACATTGAATATTTCGACTTCTACCTTTTTGTGTTTTGAAGCATTGTTTGGTTGTTTGTTTGTTGTTTAACGCCGCACTCAGCAATATTCCAGCTATATGACGGCGGTCTGTAAAATAATCGAGTCTGGACCAGACAATCCTGTGATTGACATCATGAGCATCGATCTACGCAATTGGGATCGATGTCATGTATCAACCAAGTCTGCGAGCCTGACCACCCGATCCCGTTAGTCGCCTTTTACGACGAGCATAGTCGCCTTTTACGGCAAGTATGGGTTGCTGAAGACCTATTCTACCCCGGAATCTTCACGGGTCTTTTTTGCCTAAAACAATATCCTTTCGACAACATGAAAAGCGGCTCCGCCTAAAATACTAAATGGAAAGTCCCGAAGATGGTAAAACAATATTTAAAACTGATTTGACTTTTGACTTTATCTTTTTTATTATCATCAAATGCCATTTCCATTATGTGTTTATCTGAACAATATATAGATGACCTAAAGACGGTATATATATAATAAAAGAGTCAAAGATAAAATAAATACACGACTGGGGCTGGTGTGTATGAACAATACATAGGTAACTGTACCTTCTATGAAGAATATCCTGACACTCTATATGATCTTCGCTATCTTTGCTTCTTCATCCCCATCATGATCCCAGCATGGGGCAGGTGACAAGGCAGGTGGAGCTTCTATGCAGCTGTATCAGATGTCCCGCTCAGGCCAGCATTGACTGACAGGTCATCCGGTACATGTCGTGCATTTTCACAACGGCGTAAATGAATTGACAACACGCACAAAATCAGAAACTAGTTACATGTCCACAGTGGGCTCAATACCACTGTGTTTCTACATTCCCTGTGAGTTTGCACCCACCCATTCTACCCATAACAAAACAAAGAGTAATGTGATTGTGAAGCTTTTTGTCAATAATTGTGTTAATGGTTCTCTGTTTCCCTATTTCTCAAAATTGATTACTCATTAAAATACATTCGTCGCGAGCTGTGAGTCTCCCGTACCACTGTTTGCATTTTCTGTGGATTTCACGTTGATGTTGATGTCATTGACAATATCACCATGGATATCAGCTGCATCAGCGAGACCACAAAACAGTGAGCGTCCCTATTGATAGTGAGTCATTCCTTAAATGTTTATACTTACTTTCAGCAATCCCTTACAGATACAAACGGATACAAACTACCGAAAACAACACTCTGAAGTAATTAAATATTACAGATGTAATTGATATAACTGCTATGATATAACAAATATTTATATTTAATTTTTCTTCTCTTGATTAATGGCTATTATTATATACTTAAGGGTGAACGACTGAGATTTCTAAAGGGTATAAAAGTGATATTTAATATAAAGTTCACGTATTTTATGTTTAATATGATTGATATTATTTGCGTGCAGCTATGTCTGAAAAGGTCAATGTGTATAGTAGGGAGAAGGGAAATTTTGCATTTTAATTGTTTTGGGTAATTGAAGTACATAACATTATATAATAAATAGGATATTCATGTGTCTAGTGAAATATGATGCATCGCTCATCTCGGGACGTGGAAAAGGAGATATTTTCAATTGTGGCGCAGAATTATCCTCAATATATCCTTTGGGGATTGCGGGTTAGAATAGGTTCCCAGCAACCTATGCTGGTCCAACTCATGGGGAATCGGGTTAGAATTGGTCCCCAGGAACCAATACTGGTCCATCCCGTGGGCCATCCGGGATAAAATGGGTCCCCAGCAACCTATGTTGGTCCATCCAGGGGGGAATCCCGGTTAGAATAGGTCCCCAGAAATATATGATGGTCCGGCCAGCAAGGATTTGATATTCCGGGCATTCTGGGTTAAAATAGGTCCCAAGCAACCTATGCTGGCCGTAAGAGGCATCAAAATTGATCAAATGACAACGCTCGTTGAATTATTTGATGGCATGTTAGCGTACCCGATCGTTGTTGACAAGGTCAGTCACTGGATTATCAGACGTGATTATTTTCAGGCCACAGTCGCACTCAGCAATATTCCAGCTATATGACGGCTGTCTGTAACTAATCGAGTGTGGACCAGACAATCCAGAGCTTGACAACATGAGCATCGATCCACGTAATCGGGATACGGTCAGTCGCCTCTTACGACAAGCATTGGTAACTGGAGACCTATTCTACCCCGTATCTTCACGAGTCTGCAATAAGTGAGATAAATATAAAAAGTCAACGTCAGAATACCTGGTTTCACTGCTGATTTTCATTGATACAATCATATAATGTACATCTCTATTTCGCCTTTTATGCCAAATGGAATCTGTTTCGGCAGAAAATCGAGACTGATTCTTCTATGGTGTTGATGTTTTATATAATATTATGCATAGCATACAGAGAGTACTTGTCTGGCAAATATTCCACTGAGAGATCACCGAGTGCATCTGCTGAAACTGTCCACATGAAGACCGATGACAAACGTTTTGCGTCCAGCATTCCAAATTCTTGGAACCATGCTTGCTGTAAAATGCGACTATGCTTGTCGTAAGAGGCGACTAACGGGATCGGTTGGTCAGGCTCGCTGACTTGGTTGATGCATGTCATCGATCCAAATTGCGTAGATCGATGCTCATGATATCAATCACTGGATTGTCTGGTACCAACCGCCGTCATATAGCTGGAATATTGCTGAGTGCGCCGTTAAATAACCAACCAACCAACCAGCCAGGCGCCAGACAGGGTAACAACAAGTACCATATTTTAACATATGTAATGACGCGGCTGGGGATCGAACCCGACCTTCAACTCTCCGGGCGGACGCTTTACCACTAGACTACGGAGGCAGTCCAGTGTTTGAAAGAAGTTACCACACTGTCAAATACACCGTATTTAATATGGAATTGAATCTCCTTATAGTTATGCATCTTTGATTAACTCATGGATAATCAACTCTCCATTAGTTAAGTATAATGGAGAATAGCATCAGCCACTTACAGATCTATCTCCCTCATTTCCCAAGTGAGACTGTTTGACATTTACCTGCTTTATTCTCGGTAGTTACATGTTTGAGCGAATATATGGACTTGAAACACAAGTAATTAAATTGTCGATACAATAATCGCAGTAAACATTTATAAATGCTATGGAAACGGTTATTTTTTGTGGATTCTTTCGTATTGTGAAACACACGTTGATTTCAAATAAATGATAAGGTAAGAGCACTGCATGATTGACAACAAATAGAACCGGACGAATTACAAATATTATGCTTACTGAAACTTCTTCCAGGCTTATTTACTTTTCCTCTTTATAGATTAGGATTGTAATGATTTCAGGGCTATGGTGAGTGAGTGAGTGAATGTTGTTGACAGTTGCACTGACAGCAGCGATATTCAAGACATGATATCGAGTAAGTCTGTAGATAATAAATAAACTAAAACTCAGTGACTGTAAAATATTAGCACATATCCATATCGCACATATCCATATCGCACATATTCATAGTAAGCTGAATATATAGAGTCAGCTTGATCTGGTGTTGAAATTGAAAAGACTTCGGGAGAAAAGTTGTTGTGTGCTCCATCCAGAAGAAAGTGTTTTGGAGTGTGAAGGGTATTGTCATCTGGATGACTGTTGTTGTGTCGTGAAACATACGTCACTCGTTCGATCAAAGCAACGTGGAGGAAAGGTATACACAATGTTTCCGAGGGAACAGACATTACAGTATGACCAAGTCTATGAACACTGCTAAATTGGTTGGTTGGTTGGTTTTGTTGTTTAATGCCGCACTCAGCAATATTGCAGCTATATGACGGCGGTCTGTAAATAATCGAGTGTGGACCATACAATCCAGTGATTGATATCATGAGCATCGATCCACGCATTTGGGATCGATGACATGTATCAACCAAGTCAGCGAGCCTGACCACCCGATCCCGTTAGTCGCCTTTTACGACAGGCATAGTCGCCTTTTACGGCAAGTATGGGTTGCTGAAGACCTATACTTGCCGTAAAAGCCGATCCCAATTGCGTGGATCGATGCTCATGATATCAATCACTGGATTGTCTGGTCCACACTCGATTATTTATAATAGACCGGCGTCATATAGCTGGAATATTGCTGAGTGCGGCGTTAAACAACAAACCAACCAACCCAACCTAGTAGGCCTACACAGCTACATTTGGATTTGTTTTATTGGGAGTTTGTCTTGCTTATACACTGTAAATTTGCCAATAATGTACTTATACTATACTAGTATTGTATTTTCATTGCACCGCGCTGTGTGGTATAACGAGGCATACTGTGCGATGCGATAACGCAGATAGTGCAATGATGACATCTTCCAGTTTAAAGATCAGCTCAAGGTGAGCTTGCTGAGGGGATTGAGAAAACCCATTCCAAAAGAAACAACCAAATACAATTAACATTGGCACTTTCTGTATTCAAATGATGTCAGAAATAACAGCGCAAAAGATGTATGAAAGACAATTTGTCATTAACGGTAAAGTCACTGGTGGTGCCACCATACTCGTTGAGCAAGGGACAATTCACAGTGTCAATCCACAAAATACTAAGCTGCAGGCGATTGCTGTTTGCATTTTGCTATTACACAATGTTCTCTATACATACCATCATCATCTGCTCGTCAATGAAGTATTTAGACAAGAGTCATCAGGACATCACATATCCCCCTGGTTTGGGGCAATTCGGAAATGGAGTTTGGCTACTTATATACCACTTCTGGTTCATTGCCATTGGATACCTTCAGTTCAGTGAAGAAAAACATAATGTTTTTTTGCAATATCCGAAATCATCAAAAGGCAAAACTTAATCGCTAGCTATGGGCATAGCAAGTTTCATTAAGAAATATCTAACGGTTTTGGAATTCTGCTCAGGAAACGGGAAACGGACGGTGGACAGACAGACGGACGGACATGCTATAAAGGTCACTCAACTTCCTGAGGCAATTTTGCTTCAGGCAGAACGAAATGGTCACAACCCATAACTGGTCCACAACTGATGACAATCATAAAGGGTTGGTTTGGTTGTTGGTTGGTTTGTTGTTTAACGCCGCACTCAGCAATATTCCACCTACATGACGGCGGTCTGTAAATAATCGAGTCTGGACCAGACAATCCAGTGATTGATATCATGAGCATCGATCTACACAATTGAGATACGATGACATGCATCAACCAAGTCAGCGAGCCTGACCACCCGATCCCGTTAGTCGTCTTTTACGACAAGCATAGCCGCCTTTTATGGCAAACATGGGTTGCTGAAAACCTGTTCTACCCCGGATCTTCACGGGTTTTAGAGAAAGTACTGGAAGAGTTGCTCCAGAGGCATCATCTACATGGGTGTAATTTGGAAGGTGGTGACAACGCCTATTTTGATCTGGTGTTAGCCATTCCTCTTTGACAAGTTGTCATGGTCAGTATATGATGACCTTTATACTTTTACCGAAAATTTACCGAGGGTTTTGGTTTGGTTTGTTGTTTAACGACGCACTCAGCAATATTCCAGCTATATGACGGCGGTCTGTAAATTATCGAGTCTGGACCAGACATTCCAGTGATTAATATCATGAGCATCGATCCGCGCAAATGGGACCGATGACATGTATCAACCAAGTCAGCGAGCCTGACCACCCGATCCCGTTAGTCGCCTTTTACGACAAGCATAGTCGCCTTTTACGGCAAGCATGGGTTGCTGAAGACCTATTCTACCCCGGAATCTTCACGGGTCGATCCATATATGACCCTCGTCCAATGCCAACAGGGTACGATGACATGAAGGCAACAAGTCACCGAGGCTGAAAACGTTCGGTTCCTAATTAATATAGGAGGTATCTAAGATATTGTGGGACTACATCAAATTGGGAAACGATGACATGTATCAACCAAGTCAGCGAGCCTGACCACCCGATCCCGTTTGTCGCCTCCTACGACAAGCATAGTTCCATGTAAAGAAGACTAGAAGGCATGGAAACTTGCATAATTACAATTTGAATATGCAATTCATTTTGTAATTTCATAATATTGAACTATTTCTTTTGGAATTAGTAAAACGATTTGTTTTACTTTTTTCTATTAAATGTGTACAGCATAGATTTTGTTACCATAATTACTGCATTGTGTGAATTGTTATTCTTCTCTTTAAATCCAAACAGTAGGTGTTCATTACTAAAACTCTGCCTTCTGTATAGCTTCCTGAGAGTTTCGTCCATATATCAGCATCATAGTGACAATTACATAATACATGAGTAATTGTTTCAGATGGTTCATTACATAATGAACAAACTGGCGATTCAACATATCCAATTTAAAAATATAACAGTTAGTACTAAAAATATTGTGCATAACTATAAACTGAAACCATCTTAATTCAGAACTTTGTGTACATCGTTTTGCCATAAGGTTAAAGTTTGTCCACCCTGTATCTGTATACTGTTTTTCAAAACAACCTACCCATTTACTGTAAAACTTATGTTTTATAAACTTAGGGTTTAATAATAGATTATGGTAAAATGATGATTTTGACAAAAATAAGAATAACTCCTGAAAGAGTTGGAAAGAGTTTGTTTCCAAAATAATACATGTACCCACACTTCATGAAATATGGAATATAATAAGAAAGATAATATGTGAAGGGTTTGTGAACAGTATTCAGTATCTACAATCAAATAATGATATTGTGACATAAAAGAAGACATTGTTAGTATTGAGAAACGATTAGCAAAAATTCACCATCTGCCAACTAAGACCCTCATTGTTGTTGGTTTCAAAATCAGCAAGAAAGGAAAATAGGAAGATTACAATAAATGATTTTCCTTGACCGAGTTGCAAGAGAGTTTGAACAAGGCTCATCTTGGCCAGAAACAGCTTCCTGCACCATTGGAAACTCTCTTTGGAATTTCCCTCCTTCCTGTAACAGCTTTAATTAAAGCCCGTGAGGATCCGGGGTAGAGTAGGTCTTCAGCGACCGATGCTTGCCGTAAAAGGTGACTATGCTTGTCGTAAAAGGCGACTAACGGGATCGGGTGGTCAGGCTCGCTGACTTGGTTGATGCATGTCATTGGTCCCAATTGCGTGGATCGATGCGCATGATGTCAATCATTGGATTGTCTGGTCCAGACTCGATTATTTACAGACCGCCGTCATATAGCTGGAATATTGCTGAGTGCGGCGTTAAACAACAAACCAACCAACCAACCTTCCTGCAACAAGGCGACTGTAAGACATGTGCCTAAACCAGTAAAGGATCACATAGATTACAGACCTATTGCTCTAGTTATATCTATAAAACCATTTACAGGATGATCAACAGGCGTCTTGGTGTCGTGAATCAAATAATCTGATCACAGATATTCAGTGTGGTTTAACACCAGAGGAGTACCATCGATCATCTTGTCTGATAAGAATCCTTCGCACGTAATAGTTTTGTTAATAGGCAACCCTATTATTTGGAGAAAGTTCATGATACAACATTGAAATATGGATCTTGAAAAGTCCACGATATGGGCATACACGGCTGTACTTCATATTTAAGACAGGAACTTGGTCAGAGTGGGCTCCACAAGGTCTGAGCTATTTCATCAGGTGTGCCTCAATGTGGTATGGTATCAGACATTATAGTAGTAAATGAAACAGCCTTGTTAAGATTTAAATGAAAATATTGATGGGACATATTTTGTCGATGATTTTAATATTGTATACCTTGATGGAAATATGAAAACCATTGAAAATCCATAAGTGATCACCGGAGAAGGATTATATTTTTCAAAACCTTGACCACACATGGTCAATTTAAAATAAACTTCGTAATAATTCAGAATGTAAATATATTTAAATGTCCTTTCAGTCAATTAGCTCAAGGAAACCATGTTTTTTGGCATGATCTTTGATCATAAAATATCTTTTGTCATCTCACATAGATATCTTATATCTAAATGTTTGATATTTCATCACAGGTGAAATCAAATGTTAATTGGGTGGGGTGGGGGTGGATGAAGATACTCTACTTCATATCTACATGTATACACTTGTGGTCAGACATAAAAGTGATTATAGTATTATATATCATGTTCTGATGATTGTTATGTCGTTCTGTAATCATCTGTTATTTTCGAATATCCACTACAATTGTGTGAGAATATTCTATAATAGCTGACGCAAGTGCAAATTAGTCTGCAATAAATAAGCCCCATGTCTAAGGTGAAAATGTAGAACCCCTCATCAGGTGTATTCGATGAATCATTGGCTGATCCTGACTTTAGTCACTTAATGGTCAAAGATTATTTCAGAAGTCCCAGGCTGATTTTAAATGAGGTATAAACTTTACGCGATACAGACATTTTTGGTCACAAACGTTATTGCAGCGGGGTTATTCTGTTGACAATAAAGCCCCCATCTTTAAGGGGTTGTGTAGTATTGTCTACCAGTTGTTGATTCTGTTTCGGGCTTTTCTTCCTCTACACCTGTCACATAGGTAGAAGATGATGAACACCAGTAGCTCCGTGATCTCCGTGATAGTCAAGATGCTGGCTCCGAGGCACAGTCCCATCTGACCCCCGACATTGGCTGCAACAACAACAGCTTACTTCACCAACCTTGTATTTCCCAACAAAACAGCTATTATTTTATTGAATGTAAACATATCATATGCTTGTAAACAAATTTTGTTTGTTTAAACATAAGGAACTAGATATTTACCTGTGTAATTTAATTATTTTCCTGACCATAACCAGTGTTTGAGAATGATTTGGGTTTCAATGACGACATGAAGAACACTCCGTTACATCACAGTGTGTCATATTGAAAAGCGAAAAGGAACACATGTTGTTGACGTTTACCAGGTTTACCAAACATTACAATCGGAGAGATCTGTATTAGAAGCCAAGACAAGATGATCCTGGTTGCCAAGGGACGCAACGCTGAACAGTGCTTTTTTCGAAAATTATGTTTTATATTATCAACAGTATGTTAATGTACGAGATATTGTTTGAGAGATCTGTATATGAAGCCAAGACAAGATGATCCTGGTTGCCAAGGGACGCAACGCTGAACAGTGCTTTTTTCGAAAATTATGTTTTATATTATCAACAGTGTGTTAATGTACGAGATATTGTTTGTTTGTTGTTAACGACACATTCAGCAATATTCCAACTACAGGACGGTTGTCTGTTAATAATCGAATATCGATCTTACAATCCAGTGCATGCATGGACCAAGTAACCTAGGTTGACTACCCGATCCCGTTCGTCGCGTCTTACGACAAGCATTAGTTGCTGAAGACCAGTTCTAACCCTGGATCTTCACGGGTGTCCAGTTGTTTTCAGCTAAACTAAAGGGTGTTATACTAAGTGGGTAGTAGTGTGTACTAACAGAAAAGTGTGCTTTGGCTGTACTGTGGGTGCTGTTTTGTGGATGTCACCATCATCCTGTCATAGAACACTCTCAGCTCCAAGAAGTTGTTCCTGCATTAAAGGATAAAGCTAAAATAAGGATCAATTGTCAATATACTCCCAAATCTAATTTATTGTAGTGATTATTGTTGTATGAATATATATATATATATAAATTATATATATATATATATATATATATATATATATATATATATATATATATATATATACATCATATGCAAACCGCAAAAGAAACGTCACCATGGATAGATATATGAGAAACCTTATTTGTCCAAACACTGTACACATACTTTGAGACATATTAAAAAGATGAAACTTTGCAAAACTGATAAAGGTTGAAATTAAAGTGTCAAATGTTCTTAAAGTGAAAACACAATACTAGTCTTGGAGAAAATGGCATCACAAGTCAGTATCTCGTGTGTCAGCCATATGCATTGATGACTGCCGTGCAACGTCGATCAACGGAATTGATGAGGCGGTTGATGAAGGCCATAGGCACTTGAGCCCACACTCTGAGGAACGTCAGACGCTGTTCAGCTGCAGTTGTCGGCCTTGGTCGGACGTCATTCAGCCGTCTTTGAATCTCGTCCCACAGGTGCTCAATGGGATTTAGATCGGGACTGAGGGCAGACCACTGCATGGTTCTGATGCCACTCCGCTGGAGGAAGTCTCTTGTTGCTCTCGCAGTGTGGGCACGGGCGTTATCATGCTGAAACTCGTGGATGCGGCGAATTGCCAAATTAGGTATGGCGTGTGGTCTCAAGACTTGATCAATGTACCGAGCTGCTGTGACACCATTGCCCCTCCCCGGGCCGATGATCTGGAAGACCACAGGGCCGACCCTCTGTGCAACACCAATTCCACCCCACACCATGATGCTCGGACCACCCCACGAGTAGCTCTCAACAACACAAGCATCCGACTCTCTCTCTGCCATCTGCAGTTGAGATACAGTAACGGCTCTCGTCTGAGAAGAGGCCTCTTCTCCACTGCCGGTGGCGCCAATGCTGGTGTTGTGTTGCCCACTGAAGACAGTCCCGTCGATGACGTTGTGTCAGAATGGGTCCTCGGTGTGGCCTGTGACAGTGGAGGTGTCTGCTCGTCACTCGTCGATGCACGGTGTACGCACTAATGTGTCGCTGGTGTGTCCCCATGGTCTGTTGAGCAGTTTCCGCAGCAGTAACAAAGCAATCTTGAAGATGCTGTCTGACCATCCTGACGTCGGGTGGTGACCCTTGGTCTCCCACTACGTGGTCGGTCATCTGTAGTGTTGGTGGTCTGGTACCGTTGCTGGAGCCTGTATATGGTCCTTACGTGGACTTGAAATGCATTTGCTACTTGCCGGGCGGTTTGTACAGCTTGCAATCGTGCAAGGGCTTGTTGTCGCTGATTTCTTGTTAATCTTGGCATGTGGTAACAATTCAATAACGAATGAATGTTATCCGATCTGGGTGGATTTTTATAGGGCAAGAAATGGGGGAACGCGAGTGCATTTCAATTTGCACGGAATCCACGTGGATCGGGTTGCAATGGCCGTTGCCGTTGCCGTTTTTATTATAAAATTTCATCTTTCCGGACAAAGTAATGTTACATTTTAGAAACTTTGACAAAAATTACCCAGATATTTATACAACTTTTCATGCAATGTTACTTGGGGTGACGTTTCTTTTGCGGTTCAGTATATATATATATTTCAGTGATTTTATCAGGTGTATAAGTATTAAATATACGGGGAAAAAACAGAGTCTAGATATTCGTGATTGTCAAAACTCCTTTATCCACACAAGATCTTCCGCCGTTCAACGGCTCTTCAGGTGTAATGAAAACTTAAAAGTACATTGCACTCAGCAATATTCAAGCTATATGACGGCGGTCTGTAAAATAATCGAGTCTGGAAGAGACAATCCAGTGATTGACATCATGAGCATCGATTCACGGAATTGGGATCGATGACATGTATCAACCAAGTCAGCGAGCCTGACCACCCGACCCCGTTAGTCGCCTTTTACGACAAGCATAGTCGCCTTTTACGGCGAGTATGGGTTGCTGAAGACCTATTCTACCCCGGAATCTTCACGGGTCACTTACATTGTAGTCATAGGCGACGCACAACAATATAGATATACTAGCAGGGCGGTTTGTTGGCACGGCTGTTTTCATGCCGAAACTCTTGGTTGCGGCGACGTGCCAAATGAGGTATGGACAATAATCATATATGATTACCCAGTACTTTGAAATAAATTTCAAATACTCCTGCAGATATCCCATATACTGCTGTTTGCATCTTGATAACTACTTTTTATGGATATATAAATCACTTGTCTATTCCAAATACTGTTATGTCATCCATTTTTTCTCAAACGTGACACCAAATTAACACAACGAATTATAGTACCTACCCTCATATACTGCAAGATATTATAAGCTCAACATATCTCATCAACCGCCGTCATATAGCTGGAATATTGCTGAGTGCGGCGTTAAACAACAAACAAACAAACAAACAAAACATATCTCATCGCTAAACCTCGTCAAACCCATATCCTAAATAGTGATTAATAATAAATGTTACAATTGTTTTGACTTAACTGATACATGTACATGACGAATTACCAGTGGACAATAGTTTGCAGATGGACAACTGAAAATGGTATTACGATAAAGATGTAAGAAGAATTTTAGTTTTAAAGGGGTGATCGAAAACCAGACAATCTACAATGGCAAGCTATTGATGACAATGGAGCTTACCTCAGGAACTCAGAATTCTCCGCCTTAGTGGTGTTTAACAATGAGGCCGACCAGATGTCTGCGGGAAACACGCTCGATGACACCTGCGCAGTGAACGTCTCAAATCTACACTGAATGCCGCACCCACACTCGGCCTCGAATGTGATGTTCTTGGTCATTTCACCTATAAATATAGTGTTTACACAGATAGTAACATACAGTTATTACACAGATAGTGGCATCTAGTACTTATACAGATAGTACCAAACAGATAGTTCGTTGGTGCTGAGAGGGGTGTTATGGGAGGGTGGTGTCACAGTCGCCCAAAGGCGTCACAATTATTATTGTGCAGAGTTCCCTCTAAAGGTGCAAGAAACCGATGGTCGTGGGTTCGAATCCTAGATTCGCACTGATTATGTTTCTTGGTTTGTCAGCATTATAACCGTGCTCGTAGTAAATGTCTAAGATTTGGTTTGTTTGGTTTGGTTTTTTTGTTTTACGCCGCACTAAGCAATATTCCGACCCGTGAAGATTCCGGGGTAGAATAGGTCTTCAACAACCCATGCTTGCCGTAAAAGGTGACTATGCTTGTCGTAAAAGGCGACAAACGGGATTGGGTGGTCAGACTCGCTGACCTGGTTGATGCATGCCATCGATCACAATTGCGTGGATCGATGCTCATAATATCAATAACTGGATTGCCTGGTCCAGACTCGATTATTTACACAGACCGCCATCATATAGCTGGAATATTGCTGAGTGTGGCGTTAAGCAACAAACCAACCAACCAACCAACCAACAACGACGACATCTCAATTTAAATGTCATATGGCTGAATTCCACATTTTACATACCACACTTTTGATTGTTTGGATGCCTACGGAAGCCTTTTAGGGCCATGTCCAAAAAAAATTCATATCCCTATTAACTGGAAATTTCCACTTAGTATCTGGAAAATTCCACTTAGTATCTGGAAAATTCCACTTAGTATCTGGAAATTTCCACTAAGTATCTGGAAAATTCCACTTACTAACTGGAAATTTCCACTTAGTATCTGGAAATTTCCACTTAAATGCTTTAATAGAGTCAACAGCTATATTGGAATACCTATTCACCTCAAACTTTGGAGAGGTGTGTTAACATCATTCGAACATACGTATGCTTAGGTTTGAGCAATAAAGACATCCTATATGTTCTGGCTCATGATCACAAGATTTTGATAAGTGAACGCACACTGAAAAGAAAACTTGCAAAAATGAAGCTATATCGGAGAAAAGGAAAATCAAAGCTGGTTGATGTCGCTCTCTTCATCTTGTCTGAATGTGAAACCTCTGGTATGCTACATGGCTATCGACGGATGCATCAAAGGTGTAGGGAAAATGGTTTGACTGTTGACAAAGAAACTGTAAGAATATTGCTTGGTATCGTTGATCCTCGGGGTGTGAAACGTCGTAGTAAAAGAAGACTGGAGCGCCGAAAGTACCTTTCATCAGGACCTAACGCTGTGTGGCATATCGATAGGTATGACAAATTGAAGCCCTACGGAATTTGCATTCATGGATGCATTGATGGATTTTCACGTAACATCATATGGTTGCATGCATGGAACACGAATAACAATCCAAAGCTGGTAGCAAATTATTTCATTGATGCTGTATCAACATATCAAGGATGCCCAGAGAGAGTGCGCTCTGATGCGGGGACAGAAAATACATCTGTTGAGCAGATGCAATACTTTCTGAGGAATAATCATGTGGACAGATCCCAAATGTCAGAAAGGTGGTCAAACTCTTCACATTTCCAGCAACCATGTCATCTTGTCAAACAGCTACTTCAAAGTTTCTTATCAAGTTTGTTAAAGAACTAGAATCCGATATGTTGGCAAAGCTACTCAGATTTTGTACTGGTTCTGATCTACTGCTAATCGATGCTTTTTGGGAAGCAGAAATCCATCGCTGTGAGGTTCAACACACTGAAGGGAATAGAACGTCGTCCTGTGGCTCACACCTGTGGTTATGTGCTGGAACTACCCGAGCAGTACGACAACTATCTTGAGTTCAGGTCCGAATTCACGTCTGTGCTGAAGAGTGACATCTGGATGATAGACTTGGCGTAAACTTTACACAAAGTGCATTATCCGGATGTCGCTCTGGATGCATATTCTCGCAGTGGAATATGAATACTGAAAGACAACACTATCCATGACACAATGGTGCTAAAGACCCACCTCCCTAAGTATTACAGAAACTTGGAGCATGAGAGAACACTGCTAGTTTGAGAACATTATTTCATCCACACCCTTTCCAAAAGTTGTGAGATTGCAAGTTTGACATTGTTTATAAATTTTTTAAAGTCCGTTGTTACAAAGTGCGCCCATCACTTCTGTTTTGTCACAAGTCCGTTGTGGCTGTGCATTGGGCTTTGTAACGGAGTCAACGGGCCGGTTTTGTATAAAGTGCGTCTCTGCGTTGGGTTTACTCTCCGGCTTTTTCTTGAAATGAATAAAGTTTTGAAAAAAATTCAAAGGTTTTTTTTCAGGTATTTTTTCGAAAAAGTGGAGCCATCTGCATTTTCAGGGGCCATAAATTTATTATCAGTGACACTGACAGTGTTGCAACATGACAATGGTATTACAATGCATACATACACTGAAAAACGCACCAGCAATAAATCTTGAAATATTACAAAAACAACTTGAGCAATGACCAATTTTAATTAGAACAGACATAGACGGATTATTAAGAAAGACGACAAAGGAAACAGGAATACCACACAGTAATTACATTTACGTCATCAGTGTAAGGAAGACAAATAGGGTTAAAATGAAAAGTCAATATCTGGTATGTCCGCCATTGGCAGCAACACAGGCCATGCAACGTCTTCTCATTGATCAAATAAGTCTGCGAATAGTGTTCTGGGGCATTCCACTCTTGACGTAGTGTATCTTCAAGTTATCTCAGGTTCTGTACTTGCGGACGACGTGAGAGGCGTTGACCCAGGTAATCCCATAGATGTTCAATTGGCGATAGATCGGGTGACAGGGCTGGCCATGGAAGCAGAGGCTCATTATTGTTCGCTAGGTACTGTGTTGAAACACGTGCTGTGTGCGCTCTTGCATTATCTTGCTTGAAGGTGTGCATATCCTGGTGCTGATGAAAGAATTGGATGACGTGATTTGCCAATATTCATTCTGTAGTAAAGGGCATTAACTCTTCCACGACAAACATGGAGCTCTGTTCGATGGTTATGACTGATGCCGCCCCACACCATGACACTCCCTCCCCCCATCGATCTGTCTGTACAAGGCAGTCATTGTGGTAACGTTCTCAACGTCGACGCCACACTCGCAGTCGACCATCAGCATTCCGTAAATGAAAGCGGGACTCATCATAGAACAGCAGACCATGCCACTGCCGCAATCTCCAGTGACGATGCCTTTTGGCCCAACGGAGACGTTCATTTCGATGTCGATCAGTGAGCATGGGTCAAACATATAGACGTCGAGCACATAGCCCTGCTGAGTGGAGACGTCGACGTACGGTGTCAGCGCTGATCAAACCCCGTCGGCCTTGTACGGTTGCTGCAGTCCTGGTAGCCGGAAGTGTACGATCACGAAGATACCGACGAACAATATGGCGATCCTGACGTGGTGTAGTTACACGACGTTGACCCTGACGTGGTCGATCTCTGGTGGTTCTTGTCTGCTGGTATCTGCTCATTAGCCTGAGGACTGTTGAATGATGGCATTGAAACCGTCGTGCAACGACTCCACTTGACGTACCAACTTGAAGCATGCCCAAGGCACGTTCACGTTCCTCTGCTGTTAATCTTGGCATTTCTTGTGTCAGTACCCTTGTTACGACGTAAATTGTAATAAAAAGGTAAATTGTAATACTTGCAGCAAATTGTAATAATTTTGACGTAAATTGTAATAACAACGTAAATTGTAATAATATTTGACGTAAATTGTAATACGCAAATTGTAATAAAAAAATAAAAATTACGAGAAATACTGTGTATGATGACAAACGTACAAAACTGTTAAGTTAGGGATGGTTGGTATAGGCTTTATCGTACAATCGTCATTAAAGGGTGGTGTCAACATAGTGAAAGACATTTATTGGAAGTGATGTGATGTTTGTGGCATGGTATCATCTACGTAGAAGATACTACCATCTGCGTAGAAAATACTATCATCTACGTAGAATTGAGTGAGTGAGTGAGTTGGGTTTAACGCCGCTTTTAACATTATTCCAGTTATATCACGGCGTGTCAGCTTAATGTGGTAGGAAAGCCCGAAGTCATGCAGGTCTCCGACGTTTACCACTTCGGTGAAACCCACGAGCACGGGTATGGTGCTGACAAACCTAGAAACATAATTGGGGCGAACCGGGATTCGAACCCACAATCATAGGTTTCTGGCGTGTCCAGGGGACGCAACTCTGCACAGCGAATCGCGGCGCCTTAGACGACTGGGCCACCCGTGACCCCTATCTACGTAGAAGATACTATCATCTACGTAAAAGATACTTTCATCTACGTATATGATAGTATCTTCTACGTAGATGATAATATGCCATCTAGATACTATCGTCCACTTACATACTTTCATCTACGTACATGATACTGTCATCTAGAGTATGTAGAAGTGCAGTCATATATGTGATACCAATGACATAGAGCTCACATTAACTGTCATTACATACACACCTACATGCATACATACATACACACACACACACACACACACACACACACACACACACACACACACACACACACACACACACATACTTACATACATACATACATACATACCTATGTGTGTGTGTTGGTGTGTATATGTGTGTTTGTGTGTATGTGTGTATGTATGTGTGTGTGTCTATACTGATGAGAGAAATAGTATCGGAGATAAATATAATTTGGTTTCTTAGTTAGTCACTATTCTTTTCATTGGAATGTTAAGAAGGTATGCTATAATTTCAATATTTTATTACAGTGCTTGATGTTTGCTGGAATAATTTTAATCCTCTTAGAGAAGATTATCCTCTGAGGTTATTTTTGTCCGTATATATGTCACAAATTAGTGATAACTTATGAAAAACGTAATTATCTGTTTCGAAAATTATGTACCGCATTATACGTGAGGTACCAAATTTGGTATCAAGGTTGCTTGGCGCAATC